CCTGAAATCTAAATACATGATTAGTTTCAGCATATTATATGTAAAGAACCCAAAGAATTCAAGACTTTGAGTTAAACCCCATTGAAATTGGTAAAAAAATAAGCAATTTATACAAAATATTAGAAAAGTATTCTTTTTGGCTCCTTTTTCCTACACGGTTAAGGCCATAACCCCGAAAATCAATCTCAATCTTCTTTTTTATTGGTTTTGGATCCTTGTGGTACAATTTTATAAAAATCCATACACTTATATTCAAGTTATTGTCTTCAAACCAAATATTTTCAGATGAAGACATACCATTATAGCAGCTGGAGAACATTAGTTGTTGTGAAACCATATTCAGAAATTAATGTGTTCTTGATGTTGGTTCCAGTAAGAATTTTTTTTTTATCAAATTATCATACCATGAAGCAAAGCATATCATTTTGATGTTAATCTAAACAAACTTGTACAATTTGGTAAGGAAAATAATCATCAGAAATTTCAATGTTTTATAACTTATACCAGTCTATAAAAATAAACAAGTAGTTTTGAAAGGTGGAGTTATACATGCAAAATCGAATGTTTAATGTAATTAAATTATCTACATTTTAAATTACTTGTTCAAACATATAGTATATATGTTATTGAGAGTTATTTATTATCATTTGAATTGTTACAAAAAAGTATTTTTAAGTGCACACCAAAGTGCTCCTCAGTAAGGAGTTTTATAAATATAACAGGTGAGACTGTAGATGATCATATTATATTGATGCAATAATATATTGCAGAAGGTATAAACAGTTACTTTTTTATCCATCATTGTTAAAAATAAATTTGTTGAGTGCTCCTATGTCTGGAGGATTATAAAATACAAGAAGTAAAACCGGAAGTGAATCTTGTTATATACAAAGTACAAATTTCTTTGATTTTTCTTTTAATTTCATACTCATGGTTATGAAACAAAACATTTTTACCAATAAAGTCAAAACTATGTATGCCTTTTGAAATTGTTTAGGATTCTATTTTTTATGTTATGCCTACTGAAATAAACTTTTTCAGGTGTACATGCTGTACATAAACATTACAAATGGATAACATGTGGACATTTCATTCTGTATTAAATATCTAGTATTTGTTCAATTATCTTAAATCCACTAATTAGCAGTAAACAATCATTAACAAAGGTGATAAAACTGCCAAAGCATTAGGTATTTAACTTAATCCCATTGTCAGTTAATTAGTGTTACACAATCAGGTAACAATTTTACCAGAAACGCCGGTACTACGGTAGGCATGAAATTTGGAAATTTTGTCTTTTTAAAAGGGGAGAGGGGTGCATTCTTTTACTTTGGAGGGCAGAAGGGCGGGGGTAAGGGCACCAAGGGCGGGCCGCCCTTCTATTTAGGGCAGGCGGGAACACTGATATGGCAGCAAAATATACATGCTATATATATACGTACCAATTATCAGGTTGCCTGCATATTGATAATATTGTAAAATATCAGCTGCGAGTCACATCATGAAGCTTTTTGTCGAGTGAGCGCAGCAAACGAGTTCAAAAAGGCTTCATATCTAGTCGAGATTTTGATATTTTACAATATTATATAAATATGCAGACAACCAGATTATCCATTAATCGGGTTGTATTTTCGTATTTAACATGATGCAAACAATTACTTTCTTTGTGTCACCAGCAAACCAGAAGATGACTTGATAAGTTCGGGTCAAACTTATCAATGTCGGTTCATACATTCATGACATTATAATGTTGCTGATATGTCCGGATCAAAGTTATTAAAGCCGGGTCAACGTATTTGACATCAAAAAGCCAAGATATGCAATTTCATTAAGAATTGAGCAGAGTTATACAGATAGTGGGACGACCGATAAATAGAGCTATATGACCATGATGACCAAACAAAAAAAAGGATCTACAAATAATAGACAAATTCATCAAAGGTCTAGAGCAAAATCAGTCAGAGCTCTGACATAAACAAAGTCAGAATTGTCAAGACTTGTGCAAGTCAGATTATGCATTTTTACAAAGGAGTAATAACAATTTTAAGACTTTATAAAGTCAGAATATGCCCGACTTATTCAGGTCAGATTATGTTCAGTGGATTGTTACCCCTCGAAAAGACATTGTCAACCTTGGCTTCGCCTCAGTTGACAATGTTTTCTCGGGGTAACAATCTGCTCTATCACCCTCTCATCAGCTATGTGTTATTTATATACTGGCACACTTAAAAGGTAATTATTGCAATAAAAATCATGGTGTTGGGAGAAACGACACTAAGGTAATAAACAATTAAGGGATTAAATGGAGGAATTACTCCAAGTTTCTCCCAATTCCCTCCCAAGATTTTGAGTTTTTTGCTGGAGTTTTTTGGTGTGACACCAAGTTTTTACACAGTGTTTGGAGTATGAGAATCGGTACTCTCTGTGTGTGCTTTACCTTATAAATTCTTTTGATTGCATGATAATCAGGGGTGAAACTTAACTTTGTAAGGCCAGTAGCCAGCTGGGCTACTAGACTTGAAAATCAGTTAGCCCAGACAAAAAGTTAGTAGCCCACTTTATATGACTATGAGTATCACTGTTGAAGCCCGCGAAGCGGGCTGAACTTGCTAGGGGGGTTTGGGGGCATGCCCCCCCAAGAAAATTTTGAAATTTTAGACTCAAAACCCTGCATTCTGAGCATACCTGGAGGTGATTTAGATGCTTGGGAAAATGTAAATTTTGTCTTACTTTTGTTGTTGACTTCAATCAAATTTAATAAAAAAAAAAAAATCATTTACAAAATGGGAATCTTCATACCCTGTGTACCAGTTTTTTTTCTAATATCTTTTTAAGACAACTAAAGAATTCTCTGTCCTTAAATACATCTAGATGATAGATGAAATATTTAATTTTATTTCTTTAATAATCTAATTTATTAGATATCTTGATCGATTTATTTTGCGTAACTACGTACATATGTTAACAAATGACCCCCCTTTTTTCTCAAAAGACTTGTACACGTATTTCAAAAGCAATGTCATAAAATTGATATCCCCTCTGATTTTCTCTTTTTTGTTAACTATTCAGTAAGTAGGAAACTAAAATCATTTTGAACTAATGTTATTTATTTGTGGTCGACAATATTCTACTTTCGTTTTTGACCTTCATTCTCTGGACACCACGTGGGCTTTGAAAAGGGAACTACAAAAGGTACTGTTTTCCAGATTCTTAACAACATTATATATTATACGTTCTTTTATTTGACTGATATTATTTCATAACATGCTATTGTCATCTTCTCTGAATTTCTTCGCTTTCTTGAAGCCAAAACCAAACAGGGTATTTGATCGCTTCATATTGTAAATAAATGACCATCGGAACGTCTCTCGTGTTATCCTTGCAAACATACGATACTTTCCGGACTTTAATTAGACGACCAATCAGTGACCTGAATTAACGTGAACTATGTTTAGTCAAAGGTAAACACTGATTTTACATCCTTGTTTATCGCGACTTTGCGACAATACGACTCTCGACACTTGCCTGCATACATGTTAAAAAGATTTTTTTTCTTTTTGATTTTATATTTTTTTCAGTGAAGTAGCCGACACTTGGAGCCACGGTAAACAGCGGATTTCCGTCTGTCGAGTACTTTGTTTTCAATTCGCCACCTGGGCTACCACAACTGAATAAAAAGATCGCCCAGGTCAATTTCTGGTCGCCATGGGCGACTGGGCGACCGTTAAGTTTTTTCCCTGATAATTGATAAATGTTGAGGTTTAGTTGCAAAAGTTAGACTTATATAATTAATTGAACAATTTTTATAAATTTCAAGTCTTCAGATAAGTCTTAAGAGAATGTAAAACACCTAAATGAGTTGAATGTTGAAAAGAAAAAAAGATAACTAAAATTTCATAACGTTTAATGTTATTAAATTCTATTAAAACCTTTTAGAGATGTATGGACATGTATACATTTTAATTTGAATATAATGTAGCCAGCTGACAGCGAGTTCAAAAATCTTAAAAAAGCATCAACATGATCAGCATTTCAAGTAAATGTAAACTTTGAATGTGGTACATCTTCTTCTTCTTCTCTAAGTAGATTCCTCTGATATCGGAGCACCCGTGTCACACGGTATTAAAAGCCCTTACTTTTACTGTTATAATTAATTAAAAAGTAAAATAATAAAATAATAAAAGGGTCTATATACAGTCAATATCTATGTTCTGTCCTTTTCATGCCTTTTCTTAGTGAGATTTTTTGTTCATTCATTCTGACATTTGCTTTGTGAACTGTCAATGTTCGACTTTTCGATTCTTATTCTTTTTTTTATTGCCCGTTTTTATAGTAAAACTGTTAGTTAGCTCCATTAGTATGGTGTGGATCGAACTCTTAGTAGTCTTACCAAATACAAAATTCATTTTTTTTATCACTGAGTAAACCGATACCGGATTTAGGATAAATATAATACCCATTTATGGGCATCTTCAAAAACATGTCAAAAGTCTACTTTATCAGCCGAGTAGGACTGTTTTGGGAGTGCGACTTATGTTTAGAATTTACGGATTGTTCTTTAAGTTCAACTTATTGGAGATGACGTCACTGACACTGTCAAAAAAGATGATAAAAATATGCAGCCGGTATATTTTCACTTGTGAATTTGGCAAAATATTTCTATTAGACGTCTTAAAATCTTATTTGAATAGGAAGTATGGATTCAATAAGGTTATGACTACAGAGTTCTCTACTCACTATTAACATAGGTTACTATTTCATCATCGATTGTTGGAATACACTGCGTCAAAACTCCTTCGTAGTCCGCCATGCTGACAGTTTCACAATATAACCTCAAAATTTATTTACATTTGATAGATGAATAAAGAATATAAAGTTATTTATTGATTTAATAATGAAACAAACCATTTATTTTAATGAATAGAATAAAAGATATTTCAACAGAAAATCTAATACATAAATAAATCATTTTATTTATCGATTTAAGAGACTATGATGACGTTTCCGGTTTCTACTTTCACATTTGTTAAAAAATTTATGTAGGTATAAAAGTATATTTTTGTTTTAACTCTTTAAGACAGCGACTTTGGCTTAAAATTTTTACTTAAATTTAGCAATTTTTACATGAAAATTTCATCACTTACAGTTATTCTGCAAGACACAGATCACAAGACATTTGCCTTTTGGCCTTCTCTCTAAAATTATTTATGTCCTTTTCTTTCTTTCTTATGTCAAATGTATGTATAAGCTTCCTTATCTTAGGAACACCCCTTAGTGCCTGAAGTAGTCCAAATAATAATGCCATCTAGAAAGGCTATTTTAGATTTTTGCTGTTACACCTTCCTACGTTCCTACGTTGAAGGACAGTCAAGGCTATTACTCTATAGGGTTATTAGAGAAAAATAACATACATTTGTTATTATGGACTAAAAAATCAAAGAACTGCGATAACATATGTATGTTACATGTTTCAAAGGGCCAATATACATCATTTGTTGTACAAGTTCTATTGATATTATTATTGTCTTTATGTATACTAAACTATAGAAAGATATAACAGTTCATAGTTTGCCAATCATGCATAGTACACCTATGTTATTACAGAAAAAAATATGCCTGTAATAACTAAAGGGTGTTATTACAGCTTATCTACATCACTTCAAAGCCTTTGCTCAGACATAAATCATGCTTAATCACAATGTATGTTAATTTATTGTAAGAAATAATGATCAAGGCATGTAATGAGGTTCTGTGCAAGCTTCCCAGTAATTCCCAAGTGTCTCATATAATAAGTTACATGCCTTTAATAACTAAGCCTTGTTATTACAGCTAAGTTTATCCCTTAAAAGCTTTGGCTCATTGATTTACCATGGTTGATGAAAAATGTATTAATGTAATTCGAAAATTAGTAATCAAGGCTATGTATTTAGTTTCTGCGCAAAGTTTCAAGAATTCCCAAGTGCCCACTAAAAATTAAAATATTGATGATTTATTTAACAAATAACAAACATATGTTACTACAGATTTAGAAAATTTAAGGAATAAAGAGTAGACAACTCATGAAAGTATCTGTAATAACACATGTATGATATTTTCTCTAATAACCCTATAGAGTTATATCCCTGACTGAAGGAAGGCGTCCAAAAAAAAATTATCAAAAAGCCGTACAAAACGTCATAAATATTTGGACTAGTCCTGAAAGTATTTGATTTTGAGAATTTTAGTTCACTTCTTTAGATTGTCATGAATATTTTTTACTTCAAATGTTAAATAACCTGAAGCTCTTGAATTCTAGCTAAATCACTGATTTGTATGATAGATGAAATTGTATTCTGAACACTTTCGGATCTAATCCAGCTAGCTCAGACAAATGGTACTTTTGTTTCTGATACTGATTTTATCAGCAAAAATATGAAGCGAGCCTGTAAGGGTAAATTGATATTCGAGTTGATGAAGTCAGTATTGAAAAATAAAATGCCATTATTCTTTTTATAAGCAATATGTCTTACCAACATGTTTTTCAGTTGTTGGAAGTTCGAATATGAAATATAATGAGTTAGTAAGTAAAATTACTTTTACACGTAATAAACGTTGTAATAGTTGTGTTCGGTTGTATGAATGAAGTCACATGCATTTTATTAATACATTGACCACGTTGACACGGACGGACATGAACATGTGACATTGCAGCACTTATATGTGATATGTGATGTTGTTGCCTGATATTTTCGAGTATCAAGTCCTGTTCATGATCTAAACAAATATTAGCAGAAGGATCAAAGGGAAAATGTACAAATTGCTGATTAATAGTGTTCTCAGGCCCAGGTGTATCAGTCCCCAAAACTTTCTTCATCTACTATTTAATCTGTCCCAAGTTGATCCATGCTGAAATAAATGAAATCGGTACCCCAGCCAGTCCCTCCATTATTATTTCTTTACTACTTGAGATAGTGATTAAACCTAAACATTCTAAAATAGTCCTGTAGTTAAATTTAGATACATTTGACTATTCCGCTATATACTTCATATTAAAAAAAACATTCATAATGAAAATTCTTCCTTATTTCTTGTCAGAGTTGAAATATTGCTAATAATCATTAAATACTGTAGACATTTATGAGTTTTAGACCTTTATTTAGATTATTATTCAGATTTGAAATATACTTTTGACATTATTTAAGAAAATAATGTGTGTTTATATGAATTCAAAGATTTATAAAGTAAATTAAAATAAATGTCTTTGACAATGTTTGATGGCATGTATATATATATAGGGGAAGAACAAAGTGGCAAAACCATTTTGACCCCTGACTGTATGATATGAATTTATATGGTTAATAGAGTACACATTTTGACATCTAGCATGTCATACCTCAAACTTTGAAAGGAATGACTTTAGCATTACCATCAGGAATAAATGAAAGAATAGTGAGACAGCAATACATAACAGTGAGTCAAGGGTAATACTTATACAAGAGTTTTTTTATTTACTTGTACAGGTAAATTATTTTGGGGATAGAGTTATATCCTTAACACATTCAGATTTTTTTTAACTTTATGTGCAAGTAAAAATGTCATATTTTCTTCTACTCTCAAATTTCTCTTGACTACATTGCTTTAATAGAGTGTTTAATGGTCTGTCATTAAATGTTGTTTTTACTATTCATAAATGCATAATTTCATTGACAATGAAAATCTCATTTATCTGACCTATCTTCAAAACACTACTCATTTACAAGCCTCTAACACTAATTTTTGAAGGCCTTGCACAGTTACTTAACATCTTTGTGCAATTGATTTCTTTGTTTAATTCTGTTGACCTTCCAAAACTTGAGAACTTAAGGGGTTGTAAAAAAAAATTACTTGTATAAGTAAATTTTTGGAGAAGATTAAGAGGAGTTAATTCCAACCTTGAAAATAAAATAAAAATCTTACAGATTTACTTATACAAGTAAGTAGTACTTACATCTAAAAATCTTACAAATTTACTTATACAAGTAAGTAGAACTTGCATCTTCAAGTAAATAAAAATGACTTGTATAGGTATTACCCCTGACTGCAAAATATCTACATGTACATATTATATTTTTTTAAAGATAATATAGTATGGATCTAATCATGCTGATGAGACGGGAGTAACAACAGAAAACAGTTTATATTTTCTGTCATCATGGGAAATCAATTGACGGGTATAGCACCGTCACAAATATTACCTGTAGAACAGTACTTGACAGATGTTTCTTCTGAATATGAATTTGAATGCAGGTAACAATGAATATCTTCAAGAAATATATGTTTAACAGATTGATCAATAATTTGGTTTATTATATATCATGTATATATTCTTTATTTATATTTTAGCAAACAGTTACAATAAATAAGTAATATGGTATTAACATTGAAACAGACTACATGTATATGAAATGTGAGGTATAAATCAATGAGACGACAAACCAACAATCTAGAGGGCAACAAACAGTGTTCAACATCAGATGGGTGTTTAATCATGATAATATGTCAAGCTCTAAATTGTCCAGAGTCTATGGATAAATCATACGAGACGGCAACCCAGCAATCTAGAGGGCTGTGAATAAATTTAACAGAAGCACTCAAAGATATAACATAGAACGACTACTGACGATTGATTAATTGATTGGTGTTTAACGCCACTTTCAACGCTATTTTGCTATTTTGCGGCAGTCAGTTTTTATTGGTGGAGGAAGCAGGAGTGCCCAAAGAGAACCACAACCTTCAGCAGGAAAACTCAATCCTAGTCAACTACTGACGACGTTCCTAACATGGGATTATAGCTCATTATAACAAGAACAGACTGACACATTCCCCGTTTCCATTCTCTATTCTATGAGTCTTCTTTCATTTACTATTGTCAGATTGTCTAGTCTCTATACAAAAATAACATGAATAAGGAGATGTTGTATAATTGCCAATGAGATAACTATCCACCAGAGACCAAATGAAGAGTATATAAGCTATAGGTCACCGTACAATCTTCAACAATGAGCAAACCCTTACTGCAAAGTAAGCTATAAACATATATGAAAGGCTCTATCATGACAAAATGTGAAACAATTTAAAAGAGATATAGTTTTGGATACTGTGGGTTCATTTATTTTCGTGGGTATCAATTTTTGTGGATAGCTGAAAACTTGCATATTCGTGGATATTTGATTTCGTGGTTTTGCCAATCTCTGTATACAAAGCCTATTGAAAATATGATATTCGTTGAACATTTGAATTCGTGGTTCACCTGTACCCACGAAACCCACGAAAATTAGTATCCAACGAATAATAATGAATCCACAGTATAATGTTATTTATAATTTTTTTTGCATTCAGACACACTTAAGTGATTGTATGGATATGTTGAATATTATCCTCATAGAAGAAAGTGGACCATGTTTACTGATAGCATTTAGATTCATAATACTTTTCATGAAAATGTTTAAAATAAAATCACCAATACTTGATGTACATATACGTATATGTATAATTTATGTAAACTATTATAAATGTTTCAGCTTGGGAAGTACACGATTTTTCAAGGTAGCCCGAGCTAAGACAAAGGAGGGATTGGTCGTTGTCAAGGTCTTTGTGATACATGACCCCTCTTTACCCCTCAAAGATCACAGAATTTTCATGGAAGGTGAGACCATATCATGTGTTGAAAAAAACAATTGATTACACAAATTGACAAGACACTACGAGTTATTTGCATATTTTTAGTTGACCTTAGTGAGGCGAAAGATACCAAAGGGACATTCAAACTCATAAGTCGAAAAATAAACTGACATCGCCATGGCAAAAAAAAGAAAAAGACCACACACAAACAAAAGTACACAAAACACAACATAGAAAACTTAAGACTGAGCAACATAAGTTGACCTTAGATGGATTTGGCTATATTTTTTAGGTCCTTTTTGGTCAAATATTTGGATTTGAGAGTTCTTGATGAAGATAAATCCAGAAAAGCACTTTGGATGCATGAAATTTATAACGTGTTGAAAATATTTAATCTTAAACCAACACAAGGATACAAAGTTATTATTATCTTCTCTTTTATAAATATTTTATATTGACTTGAAGAATTTGAATATTATGATCAAATTTATTTCTGTATGTAATACTTTTTAATGATAACATTACCATTTTCTTTCCACAGGTATTCGAACATTGGTTTACTAAAAATGACAAGATATTAGAATTATTTGCATGTTTTAAAATTTTTTTAATTCTAAACAAATACAAGATAGAGTCCTTAATTATTATTTACTTCTCCTTTATAAAGATTTCATATTGACTTGAATAGTTTGTATACTGTAAATTCAGAAATTAACGTTTGCATTTATTATTGCAAATCCTTGACTTCTTGCAAAAATGTCAAATCTAATTACCGGTAATGCAATTGCAAAAATTTTATTATGGAAAATTACTACTTAAATTATGAATTGTGAACCTGGTATTGTCACATTTTTTGCATTAGAAAGAAAAAAACAATTTATGATTTTACAGTACATGTATAGTATGACCCAATTTATTTCTGTTTGTAATACTTTATAATGATAACATTTTCCTTCCACAGATATTCACACTAGACTGAATGGAACTTCCAATTGTCTCCCTTTTCAGAAAGCTGTGGTAATTTACCTTATATAGATAATTAGTTAGAGCTGATCATAGTGATGTGGGCTGGTCTTTTAAAATTCTACCACAACCAACATACTTGAGGGATTTGATGGGGGGTCCTTTATTTCTGTAATCTTTTTAATTTATTTTTGCTCATTATTCTTTATCTTTAGAAATAATGGCTATTCTGTAATTGCTTTGAAACACCCAAGATACATGTTTACGACTCAAAAAAACTTTTCTGCAATGAAATGGAGGGTTGATTTCAAACAACTGTCAAATTATAAAATGGAATATAAAAAAAGATCAACCCTTTTTCGCATGAAACTCAATGTACTATGTTTTGGTAGTATGGTTATAAATCAATAACCATAGTTTGTGTCTTTGATGACTTTTACATTTCATTTTATATAATATAAATTTAAAATATATTTAAATATAAAATTTGAGTGTTTTTTTTGTATCATGTGTATTGAAAAAGAATGATAATTATTAAGAAAATCATTTTCTTTCTGTACAGTAATATTGAAGAATTTCTCATCTATTTTATAGTTTTGTAAAATTAATGCAAGATTTGTTTGAATAGACCAGATGTTTACACAGATGTTAATGGAGCTTACTCTATAATGCTCTACTTTCCTTATTATAAAAGTGCTATAGATTTAATTGACATCTTAATGGATCATGATAATTATTGTCACATAAACTGCTGAGAAGAGCTTACTTAAAAAGCTCCAAGCATGCTCGGAGCTTCCTCGTAAGAATAAATCTATGATCCCTTATATTTTGTTTTAGTCCGATCAATAAATCCATTGCAAAAAAATATATATACCAGTATGTCAATTTCATGTGCTATTTGATTTTGGAGGGGAATACAAAACACACACAAATATTTTGGTTAGGTTTGATCAATAAAAGAATCTAAAAATATATATATGTTGAATTAATGTGCTATTTGATTTGGGAATGTCATTTTAAATGATATTTTTTATTTACAGCAATCAGAGAAAGCCGCCTTGTTAATAAGGCAGTATGTAAAAGATAGCTTATATGACAGAATAAGTACACGACCATTCCTCATCAATATAGAAAAAAGATGGCTGGCATTTCAATTACTTTGTGCTCTCAACCAGTGTCATAAAACAAAGGTAATGACAAGAGTTTGAAGCTTATACCAATGAAAGTTGACAGCAAACCAACAACACAAAATATGAAAAGACATCTAGAGGTTAAAATAAAGTATTTCAAGCTGTAATATCCAGTCTAGAAAAATGATACAAATACAAGTAAAAATCCGAAACCATCAAAGTATAATTACGAAGTTGAGAATGGAAACGGAGAATGTGTCAAAGAGACAACCACTGGACCAAAGAGCAGAAAACAGCACCAATGGGTCTTCAACACATAAAGAAAATCGTGCACCTGGAGGCGGGTTTCAGCTGGCCCCTAAACAAAAATGTGTACTAGTTCAGTGAAAACTCCTAAACATATACATGTAAATGAACCAAAATTTAAAAAAACATACAAGACTAACAAAGGCAAGAGGCATCTGACTTGGGACAGGCGCAAAAATATGGCGGGATTAAACATGTTTTTGTGCGATCTCAACCCTCCCCATATACCTCTAGCCAATGTAGAATAAACAAACACACAGCAATACGCACAGTAAAAAAGATGTGGCAGTTTTATAACTTTCGAGCACCATTACTGTACTCAGATTCAAAAATCAACCAATCAAAATACTGGATTTTATGTTTCAAATACAAATCTTGTAATTGAGCACTGAGTAAAGTTTTATGACCAAGAGCCCTGCCATCAACACTGAATCCTTGAAATAAAAAAACATTAAGATTTGACACAAGGCTCTCACTTAGAAGGTTCCTGGCTTAGAACAGGCACATCTGGCATTAGAGTGGTGTACAATTATCGTACTCTGACTCAGAAATCAACCAATTAAAATACTATTGAATTTTGAACTCCTAGTACTGTTTTATGAACCAAAGGCCTGGTTAAAAAATCTAAAGTACTTTTTCAGGATTTAAATTTCATTAATAAAGATGAAATTGACACTATAATGCTGACACATCATACAACATAAAATAGAAATATAATTAAAAAGTGTTTTAAAAATATAACACTAAAGTTAACTTATGTTAATTTTACCACAATATCAAATGTTTTTATTGTAACCATGGTTATATATTTCAGGTTTACCATGGTGATATAAAGTCAGAAAATGTCATGGTTACAGGATGGACATGGCTACTGTTGTCTGATTTTGCCAGTTTTAAACCTGTCTATTTACCTGAGGTTAGTATTGGGTTATTGGAATACTCTTAAATTCAGATATTTATACTCCCGCTTAAAAAAAGGGGGGGTATACTGTTTTACCTCTGCCTGTCCTTCCGTCAGTCCATCCGTCAGTCCGTCAGTCTGTCCGTCCCATTTATCGTCGCATTTTTCTCAGGAACTACTTGACAAGGATTTCTGAAATTTGGTTTCAGGGTTTATATAAGTAAGTTAAACTGTGTGATGCGTTATCAGATTCATCACTCAACAACTTCCTGTTTACCGAACACTTGTATTATTTTACACATGATAGCCAAGTTGAAAATTTTCGTCACATTTTTCTCAGGAACTACTTGACAAGGATTTCTGAAATTTGGTTTCAGGGTTTATATAAGTCAGCTATACCGTGTGATGCGTTTTCAGATTCATCACTCAACAACTTCCTGTTTACCGAAATATTTCGGCGGGGGTATCATCAGTGAGCAGTAGCTCACAGTTTTACATGTTTTGCAAGCATTTATTTTTATGGAGATTGTTGAAAAATGGACAAAAATACCTGATTAATTATTATGATTTCAGGAAAATGTTATTATTCAGCATTCTTTGAGTCACTGTGACCTATTTTATAGGCTAAAGTACTTTTACTTCTCTAGGATAAAATTTTTAGCAAATTTTTAGGAGCTACAAATTAGAAGCTGATCTATGTTCAAAAAAATAAAATAACAAAAATACTGAACTTCAAGGAAAATTCAAAACTGAAGTTCCTTTATGAAATGGCAAATCAAAAAGCTCATACACATCAAATGAATGAAAACAATGGTCGTATTCCTGACTTGGTACTGTCAAATAGTCTAAACGGAAATCATTAATTTATTTGAATTTTTTCAGGACAATCCTTCAGATTTCTCTTACTTCTTTGATACATCAAGACGTAGAACTTGTTACGTTGCACCAGAGAGATTTGTAGAAGGAGGTTGGAAGACGGCAGAGGTTGGAGGTCAAACTGCTAACCTTGACATTACAGATAGTAGTGATGTCAAAAAAGGAGAACTCACTCCGGCTATGGATATATTTTCTGCAGGGTATGAATTTAAATTGAATGTGAATAATTAAGAGAATATATATATATAATGCTTAGTAAAAATCCAGGATTTGTTTGATGTAGGGGATAGGCACCTCTAAGCATGCTAAGTGCTTCAAAAGGATACATTGTGCATGCTTCACTCGTGAAACCTGTATAAAAAGGAAAGATGTGGTATGATTGCCAGTTAAACAACTTTCCACCGCAGACATAATGACATAAAATTTAGCAAATATATGTCAACTGAGGGCCTTCAACAATGAGCAAAACCCATACAGCATTGCAACCTTTAAAAGGCCCCAATATGAGAAATGTGAAAAAATTCAAACGAGAAAACTAACTGCATGATTTATGTGCAAAACAATGAACGAAAAACAAATATAATATACAGCAATATATTCTTGGATGTAACTCTTTTAACCTTAGAGTCAGCTTAATAACTCCCCAACAAACAAATTCTGGATAATCTCAGCTGCTCTGGAATGGCGATAATGTCCTACTTGTCTTGTGGCAAATTGAACAGGTGATAATCTACCAAAACATACTGTGGATTCATAAATATCCGTTGGATACCAATTTTCGGGGATTTCGTGGGTACTGGCCGGCATGGGAACCACAAATTTATATGTTCAACGAATAACAAATTTTCTTAAGAAATGTATGCAGAAGTTGCCTAAACAATGAAACTAAATATCCATGAAAACTTTTCTTCAATCCACAAAAATTGGTACCCACAAAAAATATTTTTTTTCCTGTTTTTTTTGTAATAAAGTGTATTGAATAATTATTTCAGCTGTGTTATAACTGAGTTATTTACAGAAGGAACCCCGCCATTTGATTTATCACAGTTATTAGCTTACATCAATGGAGAATATAGTCCATGGAAAGTTCTAGAAAAAATAGATGATGGTAGTATAAGGGTAAGTTATCATATACTTAAGGATGTTCGCTACTCTGTTTCAAAATAACAGGTTTTTTAAAGACTGTTATAAAAATTGATAGTATATGAATAAAGGAATTAAAAAAGCAGAAAAAAATGAAGGGTCCATGTGCTTGTTTTCAAGATATAATCCATTGAAAATTTGGTGGGAAATGATTCTCTCTAGATTTTTCATACATTTAACATTGGAACTTTTTTTCTTCAAAACTATGAAAAATACAAGGATTTTATACGATTTTAAAATATGGCTTTTTAAACTATATGTAATAAAAATATGAAAAGAAAAGTAAGGGTTTGCGGGTTAAATGTTTTAATGGCACTACATGGATAAAACCAGAGGATTCCCAACATCTGGCAACAATTCAAAAACAAGAGGAGCAAACATCCTTAAGATTCCTGAATAGGTGTAATAATTTATTCTGTATTTTATGCCACAGCCACTAGGCAGTTGGGGATATAGCATTATCAATGTCTGTCACACTGTCATTTTGAAATAGTATAGTTATTTTGAAATTCTTGGTATTAAAGCTGCTGGGAAGAGCCTACTTAAAAAGCCCTGAGCATCCTCCAAGCATGCTTGGAGCTTCCTCCTTAGAATAAATCTATGATCCCTTACATCTGCAGATTTGGAGTTGACTTTTTGGTACGTTAATGTTATATAATGACAGTTTGTGCTTTGTTGCAGTTGACTGACATTTTGGGGATTAAGATGAAGGGAGGTTCTTTCATGTTTATGGACATATTTTATTTATCAGGCCAATATCTTTTGAATGTGAAATTACCTCTTCTACCCTCTTTTCCCATTTTCAATAAATTGTGTTGTGAGTAAGGAGGATGCCTAAAATATTGAATATAATGTAATAATTCATAAAATATTTTTTGTAAATACAGTTTTCAATTTGAATAAATTCATGATAAACTTAACAATTTCTACACAAATTGGGTGATTGTTCAGAAACTTCAAAGCTCATTTTCATTTTGTTTTTCAGGACTTGATAAGACACATGATAAAAAAAGAACCAAACCACAGACTGTCTGCTGAGGAATATATGATACAACAGCGAGGCAAAGCTTTCCCAGAATATTTCTTCTCTTTCCTAAAATTATATCTGCAAAGGTTTGCGACAGCACCAATTCTACCTCCAGATGACAGAATTATAAGGTAACTATGACAACTTAATTAGGCACGAAAAATCATTTTTGTATGAAATGAAAGATTAAGAATTTTTTTAATGTTTATTTTGAATAATAACGTAATTGTATGAAGTAAAGATAGAAGGGTATATTTTGCCTGTTTTTTCGGATAAGAAATTCCTTTTTTTGTACTTGTGAACTTCCTGGGAAAGGTGCACTCTTATATGCAATTAACGGTTTGTTGGAATTTGATAGCAGAAACAGGCTTAGGTCTGGTTGGACATGAAATGACTGTCCATTTATTTAGATTTAAGATACAATTGCTATTAAATAATATCTATTTACTACATGCAATCTGTAACTGTTTTATTTGTTCTAATGGTACATGTACATTGAACTATCATGACTATACGATTGTGTTAATATGTTGTATGTTTGCTTTTTTTTTTTTTTTTTTTTTTCTCTTATTATTATTTTTTTTACTTGTATTGTATATGAGGGCCTCAGGGATGATTAGTAATTGTAACTAACTGTGTTTACCCTCTTTAAATAAAGAATTTATTATTACTATAATTATTAATGCTGGAAATTGCAGAGTTTTACATAGAAAGCAATATGACCATGAAATTGTGGTTTTTATACCTTTTCATGACTAAATCCTGAAAAATTAATACTCTACATATTAAAATGAATCCTCCTTAAAATTTCTATATACTTACAATTTGTATACTGTTAAAAAACTTAATTTCATGAATACTTTATTTCGTGTAAAAGCCTTTTTAGCCAAGTTCACAGCAATTTATTTTGAAGATTTTCAATGTTTTCATGTAATTTTATAAAGGAAGGCAAAAATATCACTTATTCATGAATATTTATTTTGTCATTATTTTTCTTCTCGTGAAATATTTGTTGGTTTACAGAACATACTTCAATTTCAGATTAAAAAAAGATTTTTCTAAAATAACAAAGAATTTATGTGTGAAAGAAGATCACTGCGAGGAAAATGTTGGACTGGTTCTTGTGCTCTCATTACTGGAATCCAGTTCAAGGAAATTACACGTAAGGAAACATAAATCTAAAAAAACTAACCATTGACTGTCCAGATTTCAATAGTATTCAAAAAAATATTTAAGCAACTAGGTTTATCAATAATTTTCAATGGCCTTCAACAATGAGAAAAACCGATAACGTATAGTCGGCTATATATGTATGGTAATTCTATCTATATCATTCTTTTAAAGAGTTTCGAGAATGATAAAGACTTTTTTATTTCAATGTTTTTGTCAATTTTTGTTTCAGTTTTTATTTATTGAAAGGTTCTTATCATACCCTCCAAAAAAGGATTTTTTTGCTAGGATATATAGGAATAACTCTTTTCATCTGTCTGTCTATGTACCTTGTCAGTGCAACACCTTTTAAATTGCTCGACAAATATTAATGAAACTTTACACAGTTGTAGAACACAAGCTGTGTATGTTCAAAAAGCCTAGTCAAATATATTAAGGGGAGATAATTGAGTTTAGTAACTTTGATACACTTATATTTTGGTGGGGGGGGGGGTATCCTTTTGTGAGTTCATTCACAGTACTAGTTTGCTATGTTTATGGCTAAAATACCCCAAAAAAACTTGTTTTTTATACCCCCGCTTTAAAAAAGTGGGGGTATACTGTTTTACCTCTGTCTGTCCATCCGTCAGTCCATCCGTCAGTCCGTCCGTCCGTCCCATGAATATTTTTCGTTGCATCTTTCTCAGGAACTACATTACAAGGATTTCTGAAATTTGGTTTCAGGGTTTATATGAGTCAGCTATACTGTGTGATGCGTTTTCAGATTCATCACTCAACAACTTCCTGTTTACCTTATACTTTTAGCGGGGCGGGGTTATCATTAGTGAGCAGTAGCTCACAGATTCACTTGTTGTGAATTCTGATTTAATTTTTTTTTGCACATATCCCCCTTTAAAGCGGTTTGTTTTATTTAAACTTTTACAAACACAAAAGTCTTGGTATACACTATGAATCATATCTCTTTTCTTATTTCAGTTTTTTAACACTAAGATAATGGCTCTACAACTTCTACTTGACTTCTCTAAGTACTTAACTACTGACATTATACTGGATAGAATAGTTCCTTATATGGTAAGTTCTGACACAGTTATTGGATTTAGATGATTTATCTTTAAGTACCTGACTATTTAAACTACATATTGATACTGAGTAGAATAGTGTCTTTATATATGGTAAGTTCTGACAGAGTTATTGACCCTGAATGATTTATCTCTAAGCACCTAACAAAAGATATTATGCTGGATAGAATTGTTCCTTATATAGTAAGATCTGACAGGGTTATTGGTCCTAGATGATCTATCTTTAAGTACCTAACTATTCAAACTACATATTGATACTGAATGGAATAGTGTCTTTACTGTCTTATATGGTAAGTTCTGACAGAGTTATTGGCCCTGAATGATTTATCTCTAAGCAAATAACAAAAGACATTATGCTGGATAGAATATTTCCTTATATGGTAAGTTCTGACAGAGTTATTGTACTTTAGTTATGACAGAGTTATTGTCCTTGACCTTTGGTCCCTGAGCTATGACAGAGTTATTATCACTGATCTATGGCAGAGTTATTTTCCCTGGATGATGTATGTCTATGTACCTAACTAACCACAGATATGATACTGGATAGAATTGTTCCTTACATGGTAAGTTCTGACAGAGTTATTGACCATGGAAGATGTATCTTTAAGTACCCAACTACAGATGTGATACTGGATAGAATAGTTCCTTATATGGTAGGGTGTGACAGAGTTGTTGGCCCTGGAAGATGTATCTTTAAGTACCCAACTACAGATATTATACTGGATACAATGTTTCCTTATATAGTAAGTTCTGACAGAGTTATTGGCCATGGATAATTTATCTCTAGGCACCTAACTACAGATATTATGTTGGATAGAATAGTTCCTTATATGGTAGGGTGTGACAGAGTTGTTGGCCCTGGAAGATGTATCTTTAAGTACCCAACTACAGATATTATACTGGATACAATGTTTCCTTATATAGTAAGTTCTGACAGAGTTATTGGCCATGGATAATTTGTCTCTAGGCACCTAACTACAGATATTATGTTGGATAGAATAGTTCCTTATATGGTAGGGTGTGACAGAGTTGTTGGCCCTGGAAGATGTATCTTTAAGTACCCAACTACAGATATTATACTGGATACAATGTTTCCTTATATAGTAAGTTCTGACAGAGTTATTGGCCATGGATAATTTATCTCTAGGCACCTAACTACAGATATTATGTTGGATAGAATAGTTCCTTATATGGTAGGGTGTGACAGAGTTGTTGGCCCTGGAAGATGTATCTTTAAGTACCCAACTACAGATATTATACTGGATACAATGTTTCCTTATATAGTAAGTTCTGACAGAGTTATTGGCCATGGATAATTTATCTCTAGGCACCTGACTACAGATATTATGTTGGATAGAATAGTTCCTTATATGGTAGCGTGTGACAGAGTTGTTGGCCCTGGAAGATGTATCTTTAAGTACCCAACTACAGATATTATACTGGATACAATGTTTCCTTATATAGTAAGTTCTGACAGAGTTATTGGCCATGGATAATTTATCTCTAGGCACCTAACTACAGATATTATGTTGGATAGAATAGTTCCTTATATGGTAGGATGTGACAGAGTTGTTGGCCCTGGAAGATGTATCTTTAAGTACCCAACTACAGATATTATACTGGATACAATGTTTCCTTATATAGTAAGTTCTGACAGAGTTATTGGCCATGGATAATTTATCTCTAGGCACCTAACTACAGATATTATGTTGGATAGAATAGTTCCTTGTATGGTAGGATGTGACAGAGTTATTGGCCCTGGATGATGTATCTTAAAGCACTTAACTACCTCACTGTAAATGAAGTACTTAGACCACTTAGCCACCAAGGCTCCTTAATGTGTGAATTGAATTGACTAGTTCTTGGCGTAATATAACTACTTGATTTTAAAGCTCAATGTTAAAAACAGTTTCTATCAATATAAAAATGACTTTTTTCCATTATAAACTTATTTTGATTTAAGAGTTATTGCATTTATTACTTTTTGTCCATTCCAGTTGCATTTTGCAAATGACCACTTTCCTCGAGTGAGAGCAGAGCTTGTAAGAGTAATAACACAGTGTCTGAAAACCATAAAATCTGTACCTCGAAGGTAAATATTATTTTATTATAGATTTCATTGTTGAAATTCAAAACAATGTTTCCTTATATAGTAAGTTCTGACAGAGTTATTGGCCATGGATAATTTATATCAAATTTAAGCATTTGCTTGTCATATTAACAATACATTCATTTAAGAATTATAATTTTTGTTGAGAAAATGTCTCAGGACTTTTCAGATAAAAGACATGTGCGAAAAATTTAATCGTAAACTGCATGAATCATAAGAATTTCAATATATATTACTGGAAGTGTATTTTTGTTTTTAGTGTTAAAAAGTGTTGAGAAATATAGGATTTGCTGAAAATATTTTTTAAAGCATAACCTAGGTTTGGAAAAAATCCAGAGGGTGATGAAATATAAAGGAAAAGATTGCATTTTTATTTAGTGCTGATTTAAAATTTTATTCTTTCTACTTGGGTTATCTTGGGAAAACAATCTTTCTGAACATTACTTTCCTTTTCATTCTCAAAATTTGAAGACCTTGAATATACCAACGAACAATAAAAAACACTAAAACAGAGCAATTTTTAATTAATATTTTCCGTTATAATACATCTCATATGATGAGAAAAAATGAAAACAACACTATCAGGAATGCTCAATGCTGAATATTTGAAATCCAAAGATGTATAAAACCTAAACAATTGAAGAGCTATATGATCATAAACGACCTAAAAATAATAGCCAAATCCATCTAATATCAATTTTGCCTAAGGGAGTTGAAACTTTAGAAAGTGTGAATTTCAAAGAGTTTTTCTTTCTTTTTTATCTGTTTTTTTCATCGAGAGTCAGCTGACATTGCCATAATTTCATTTTAAATTTTTCAGTGATGCCAACATTTTTCCTGAATATATTTTCCCTTCACTGGTAAGTAAATTTTTAAATAAATTTGTATGAATATTTGCCAATTATTTTTTTGACCTGTTGTTAATAATTTAATTGCTTGTTTTGTTTCAACTCATGATTAATTGAAATTTTTATAACATCAGATTTATTTACTATGAATAAAAAGAGATGAATATAAAATTTATTTTTGGCCAAAAAGATGCTTACATTTAATTTGTGATTTCATGACTTTTTATATCTTTCTATGTGGTATTGGTTTCACTCATTGTGTAAGGCTGTACAGTGACCTTTAATTGTTAATTTTTAAGTCATTTGGTCTCTGGTAAAGAGTTCGTCTTATTGGCAACCATCCACAACTTCTTATTTCTGGTTTGCTTATTGTTGAAGGCCGTACGGTGACCTATTTTGTATGAATTAAAGGTATTTAGCACATACCTATTAAAAGGAGAACACTATTAAGAATCTTTTAAAGCTTAAATAACAACCATTTCTCAAACCAAAGTTGATAGCTCCCCCTCACGCTTAAAAATTACTTCATGGTATGTTAAATGATAGGAGGGATATAACATATTTACTGTGAAAAGAGGTAAAATCTGTATTGCTTAAGAATAATGTTACAAAAAGGTTTCAAGCAAGAGTATATATTATCCCCTGCTTTATTCTCCATTTATGTGAACGACTTTATTAAGACCACATGAAAAAACTGTCAGCTATATTAAAATGTTTTGGTATACATGGTAACTAAACTGATAGTTAACAGCCTGATATGAGGTTATGGCATTCAAAGTTAATTTGACATATAAAATTATTAAATTTGACCTTTCCTAATAACATATATAGTTTTACTCTCTTCATTTCAGTCAAATCTGACACAAGATCCATCAGCTATGGTGAGAGCAGCATATGCTGAAAATATTGCACAACTGGCTGAAACAGGCCTCCGGTAAGCTACAGAACAAGTCAGTAAAATCTTATGCTTAGAATACACAATAATTAGTTTGAATAGCTAGCACAAACTGCTGTTTGTGATCAGGGTCCTGCTGCATAGAATACACAATAACTAAATTAATTAAGGTACATGTAAGCCATTTGATTTATCACACATGTTAACAAGTATTTTAATGATCAGGGTATGATGAAATAGTTCAACTGGAGTGATCACTACACTAGACAACTCTGAGGTTGTGTATTGGAACTGTGCTAGTAGCCTTGTGTGTTCCATTTCTATCTTAATTGACAAGGATCACCTGTTTTCATCCAGGAGGTCAAATGATCACTTCATGTACTCACATTTCCTTCTCAAATTAAAACTGGCCGCCTGGTATAATATATCCAAGATCTCTGAAACAAACAAACAAACAAAGAAGGATCAGATCACATATTTACAGACTACAAAAAAAGTTAAGTACAAGGGTTTTTGGGTAATTTTTTTGGGGGGGGGGGATCTTCATTATCTATTGTCAGAATGTCCTTTTATGTAATGTCTCTCCATTTTCATTGAGCTTGCGATGAAAGTTGCAAAAGCAAGACATGGGGATTGTACATTTTGTCGGCAGTAGCAGCAATCTCATCATCAACATTTAGGTTCAGTCTGTGGTTTTATTTTAGGAATACTGTAAATTCAGAAATTATTGCGTGCATTTATTATTGCGATTTTGTCATTTTAGAATAAAATGCGATTTTAATTTTTGCGATATTGAGAAAAATCCTGTTTAGTTCATATCAAAAATTTCAAAATGCGAGTTTAAATTATTGCGATTATAACCCTGTCGCATTTTTCGCAATAATAAAAACATCGCAATAATTTCTGAATTTACAGTAGTAAGTTTTGTCAAACCTTCATGGTACATTATGAAACTTGGACAGCAGATTCTGCATGGTCAAGGAATAGCATCTTGAGAAAAAAGTTTAAATGTTTATCATTATTCCAAATTTTTCTTATAAATTGACTTTTAAAGCAATGAAAGCGCTGTTTCTTTACTTTTTGTGTGTTTCTTTGCTGTGCATGTACTAATTTTGTGTCATGGATGGATACCCCATCTCCTTTGTTTTTCTATTAGTTTTTGGGTTTCAGCACTACACTGACAGCAGCAATCACAGAAGAGATACTTTATTCTGCAGATCACATTACAATTTTTTTTGTTTAAATGTTTCATAGGGCTATTCCATTAAATGTATGTGGGAGGGTAGGATGGGACTTTCAAAATATCCCTACAACCAAGAACCTTTTTTTTTAGATAATTTTGCATAATGGTAGTAGACGCATACTGAAAAAAGACCCATGACCCACATTCAATAATTAAACTTCCCTTCCTACCCTCCCACATACATTTTAATGGAATAGCCCATAGAAATAATCCATAAAAAAAGGCATTGGCAAGCAACATTACATTGTTCAAGTCATACATACTGCATTTAATAGGGTTTTAGAAATGATGCAGAGAAGTGATTTAGAGGAGAAAGAAGAGGATGAAACAGACAGCACAACATTCCAGGTAAACACCAAATTATATTCACACCTGTATCCAAGAGGGTACATCCAGAAAAGCGCTTCGGACGCATGAAATTAATAAACGTGTTGTTTTCAATTTTTTACATCACTGGGACGATACCTCTGCTGGTGGACTATCGGTCTGAGGGTATCATCAGCTCAGTAGTTAGTACTTCGGTACTGACATGATTTATAACTAACTTTTGTAAAATTGTCCGTTTATAAATTTTGAAATTATAAAGAAACTAAGGTTTCAACTCCCTCAGGCAAAGTTGACCTTAGATGAATTTGGCTATTTGTTTTAGGTATTTTTGTCATATAGCTCTTCAACTGTTTTGGTACTTATACATTCCTCGGATTTCAAATGATTGGCATTGAGCGCTCCTGTTGAAGGTAAATCCAGAAAAGCGCTTCGAATGCATGAAATTATTAAACGTGTTGTTTTCAATTTTTCTATCATAAATATGAATAAGTAATGGGTCAGTTCAGGCAGGCAGTAATGCTATAATTTTCTCAATTCCTTTGCCCATAGCATAAACTTGAATATGATGGCTGATTTCCAAGTGGATTCATTTTCATATACATGTACCGTATGTGGTTAAATTTTAGAGGTAGGAAGTGAGATTCAATTTTGCATATCCTGAAAAGTCCTTTGTGATGTGGCTTCTTGAGGTAAAAAATCTATATTTTCACACAAAAAGTTCTCTGAAAATTCTGCCCTTTGCAAACATTTTATAACTTCAAAGCTTTTACATCGTTCTTGTATGGTCTATTGTTCTTCAAATAGAACAATTGGTTAAGTTTAGTCTCCTGTTCAACATTTTAGGTTCACATTATAATTTAGTTCCTCAATTTGAGAGGCATTAGGATATTGAGTCTGAAGGTGGTTATAAGTCAATGAGACAGCAATCCAACCTAAAATAACCAAAAAGACAGGGTGAATATTATGAGGGCTCAAATATTAAAATGTTTTTCATTTTGGTATTGCAAGATTTAAGGTGGTACCAAACACCTCGACTAAAATTAATTTGGCTCGTTTAATTTTCATAAAATTTTGACAAAATATTAACGTTGACCCTTTGACAAATACAAAAAAAAAACACACCCTTTTTCGGAAAAATTACATTGGGTATTTACAGTGTTCTAGAATTCCTATTTCCCGTCACCCGTGGCAAGTTGATTTAGGTATGGGAAAGTGGAAATTCAATACTTTGTTGTCCTTGGCAAGTAAAATAAAATTACAGAAACTTCCTATTCATGCAGATCAAACGGTCGATGAAACAATTGTATTCATTTATTTCAATCAAAGTCTCAAAGCAAGATCGTTGTTGTTGGTGTAAATCATGTAGGGGTTCTAAAGTCTAGGGGAGAGAAACGTGCACACGTGTTTCGTGATCACTGTCATAAATATGCTTGCTAGCTAAGCAAGGGAAATCCGCCATTTCAAGCATTCATCTGATCTAGACTCAAAAAACTAATAACCAGAATGCAAATGGTAAAAGATAATATCCGGATCTCAAATTCGTGATTTTTTGCTTGTATTATTATCACTATTTTGTGCCAATACATTTGAATTACTGATGTTATGTCACAAATAGACATGTGTCAAACTAAACTAATTCATTTCAAAAGAAATACCAGAGTTCATAATTTCAAATTGAACTACATGTATAAACATGCATTGAAAGAAATAACAAAATAATGAAAACATTTTCAAAATAGTATAAAATTAAGGGAAAGTTTATTAAAATTGTGGGAAAGTGAATTTTTGATACAAACTTTCCCGTGGAAAGTTGCAAATGTATAAAAATCCTAGAACACTGGGTATATAGCAGGTTGACAAACACTAATTATATTGAGAAGCTTAATATTTCCTTAACAATAGAATGTGATCAAAATGGTCAGCTGATTTTTACAGAGTTATCTCCCTGTAGAGTTTTAATTTGTTTTCACATTATTTAGGCCAGCTATGACATGGAGCTATTATCTTTACAAGAGACAATTCAACAAAAGGTCGTGACCTTACTGAGTGACCCAGATAATATGGTAAAGCAAGCATTGATGGAGAATGGTATAACCAGGCTCTGTGTATTCTTTGGAAGACAAAAAGGTAATAATCTTAAATTTGATGAACCTATGTGTTTCAAAGTTCATGACCTCACCATATGACAAGGTCATTCTGCTATCAGGAATAAAAAAAAATATGCCTTCACTGTCAATGTAACTTTCTTTGAAAGAAATGTGTTATTTTGCGTTTGACATAATAGTTGAATTAAAATGCCGCATATATAAATAAGGAGATTGATTTATTAATTATTAATATACATTTATTGACTTTTGATAAGGCAGAGTGTGAATGTCATATCTCTGGGGTCGACAAATCAATTTATCAACTGATATCAAAGTCAACAATTGGTTTATTATATGACTTTAATTCATCTCCAATTTTCTAGTTTTTACTCAAAATATTCATCTGCTCCTTGTTTGTATACTAAATATAAATATATAATCTGCCTATGCAGTTGCTAACTTTTACAAGTTGAAATACTCAATAAAATGTATTAAAAAAACTTAGCATTGAAAAAAAGAAGGAGAAAAACAAGAATTTTCATGATGCCATAAATCTTAAGTCATTGATGTTGCCTAGAAAATAATTATTTAGGTACAATTGAGGTGTTTTAAATCTTATATTAACCTCACATACTTTTTTCCCGCAGTGAATATAACATTTTACAAAAGGAGATTTCCTATATATGCTTTTTATCCAATGAGAAAAGAGAAATTTGGCAGTCATATAATAACAGTGTTAAACGCAACTTTAAACACACTTGGCTGTGTCATGAAAGCTAGTTTTTATTAGGAGAGGAAGTCTATGTTATGGGAGAAAATCACCAGCTGATTGTCTCATTGATATAATAATAATTATTTTCCACATCTCCTTAGTTTCACATGGTTATATTTATTTTTTTTATTTACATATCAGCTGTCATAAAGTATAATTCATTCAATATTTTATTGTTTGTATATTTCAGCCAATGATGTTTTATTGTCACACATGATTACATTCCTGAATGACAAGGTAATCTATTATAATTTATGCAAATTTTTTGTATAATTGGCTTATTTCATTGGTCAGCGAGGATGTGATAATTTTCTCTAAAACTTTAACTAGATCCACCAACACCACTGCAACCTTGGCAATCGGTGGTATTCAGAGGGTGGAATTACTTTTGGTGATCTTAACGTGTTTTCACCCTCTGGAATATATGGCATTTTCTTTGCAACTTTACCAAGTATTTAAACATTTTCATTCAGACAAAATTTGCAACAACTCAACAGTGATAAACCTGATAAAATACAGAATTATTCCAATACTTTAAAAAACCTGAACTGAATCTTCCAAAATATGTGTTGCTTGCCTGCTAATATTAATATTAGCATAAAGTTTATATGTTGCAGGGTTAAAAGAACTTAGAATTTTCATTGTCAGGCCTGTATTAGAATCCTGCTGTAAACCAACTAATTATACACCCACTTTAAAAAAGTGGGGGTATACTGTTTAACCTCTGTCTGTCTGTCTGTCTGTCCATCCATCCGTCCGTCCATCCATCCGTCTGTCAGTCCGTCTGTCCGTCCCATGAATATTTTTCGTCGCATCTTTCTCAGGAACTACACTACAAGGATTTCTTTAATTTAATTTCAGGATTTATATAAGTCAGCTATACAGTGTGATGCGTTTTCAGATTCATCACTCATCAACTTCCTGTTTACCGTCAAGTATTTGGGCTGGGGTATCATCAGTGAGCAGTAGCTCACAGTTTCACTTGTTTTCACGACTTTTGCAAGAAGAAAAATAACATGAATGTGAATTGTTAGGAATATTTAAAAAACTTTAGTCTTCCCTTATAAGTTATATATATAAATACATCAAGAAAATTAAAAAAAAAACATAAAAACATATTGCCACATGATCTGCTTAAAAGGGCTAACTGCAAAACCAAGTATGCACAAAAATAAGTTGGTTAACAGATACATGAATTTAATTTTTCAGACTGATTGGAAGTTGAGAGGATCTTTCTTCGACAATATAGTTGGTGTGGCTGCCTATGTTGGATGGCAGAGTTCACCAGTACTTAAGCCTCTGTTGGAGCAGGTAGGGAAAAAGTGAAAATAAAACTTAACATGCATTGAGATATAATTGAAAAAAGAATTAGAAGGAGATATTATGAGGGTCTGAATGGGGTTTACAGAAAAGAAAATAATGGCTTAAATAATGAATAGAGAAAAAATAGCAAAAAATATAGAGATTAGAGATTAATGAGGAGCAAAAGTGTATTGAGGAATAAGGAATTACTGTGGAAAATAAAAGAATTAGGTATTATATATTACTGATTTCAGTAATGTCACATCAAATTTAAAAATGTTTTCTATAATTTTAGGGACTGAATGACACAGAAGAATTTGTAGTATATCGTACACTAAGAACACTACAGTCCCTGACAGAGTTAGGTCTTCTGCCAAAAACCATGCTGCATGAATTTCTACAGGAAGTTGTCCCATTTCTGGCTCATTCTGTAAGTAGGTCTCGAGACCACCTCATTCTGGCACATTCAGTAAGTAGGTCACTTAGACCACCTTGTAGTGGAGGTAACTTTGTGACATTCTGTTTTATGTTTTACTACAAAGAGAGACTGCCCACTTGGAAAAAAAAACATGGTTGTGTAAATGTGCATTCTTATTGCTGGAAACCTACAAAATCTGTGTTCATTCTTAATAAATAACATAGGTTCATCGTGGATGAATTATTATTTGTTGGGTAAAATATTTTTTGAATTTTGTGGATAAAGGAATACAACGAACTTAAAACGATGAACAAAGTACAAATTTCCTATAGGCTGACTTTGTCAAAACAACAAATTCAAATATACATGAAAATATATAATTTTTCGTCAATTCATGAAGATTGGTACCTGCAAAAAGACAACAATCCACTATATATAATGGAGATTTAGGGTTTATCACAATAAGACATCAGCTCAATGAAAAAAAAAATGAACAGATATATAGAGGCCAGCAGCTCTTTTCACAAAATATCTTTAGAGTAAAAGTGCTCATATATTTTCAGTATAACTTATTAAAGATCAATTTCAATCTTAAAATTTTTAGTGAAAAGAGTCACAGTCTTTGACAATATTAATAGACCTGTGTATATACATTATACAATATTTCCACCTCGTAATCTTATTAGGTCTAAAAAACTTGTGACTGAATACAAAAAAAAATCAATGACCTGCAATCAAAAACAAAGGAGTAGAGCCAGGAACCCCAATAAACGGCCCTGTAAAGGTGTTTGTCTCGCCTTGACGGAGTCAAAAAGCGAGACATAGGTATGCTGTTTCCAGCGGCGGCAGCGGCAGCAACAATGTATCAGTTTGTGATTAGTTCTAGTTCATGGTGAACCACTAGTGGTAGGTCAATGATATTTGGTATGCAGTTGTATTAGCATTGGCACATCTCATTACCATGGAGATTATTTGGCCCCGCCCCCTCAGTCAAGGTCTATTGACTTTGAAACTTTTCATAGTTTACATGTATTAGTTTGTGATTAGGTCAATTTATGGGGAACCACTAGTGGTAGGTCAATGATATTTAGTATGCAGTTGTATAAGCATTGGCATATCTCATTTCCATGGAGGTTATTTGGCTCCGCCCCCTTAGTCATGGTCTATAGACTTTCAAAATTTTGCTAAGTTAACATGTATAAGTTTGTGATTAGGTCAGTTCAAGGGGAACCATTAGTGGTAGGCCAATGTTAATTGGTGTTCAGTTGTATAAGCATTAGCACATCTCATTTCCATGGAGAATATTTGGCCGCGCCCCCTCAGTCATGGTCTATTTACTTTGAAACTTTTGCTTAGTTTACATGTATTAGTTTGTGATTAGATCAGTTTAAGATGAACTGCTAATGTTAAGTCAATGATATTTGGTATGCAAATTTATTGGCATTTGCAAGTATCGTTTCCATGGAGATTATATAGCCCCACCCCTGATTATGGTTCATTGACTTTGAAACTTTTACATAGTTTACAAGTTAATGTTTGTGTTTAGGTTTGTTTAAAGGGAACGACTTATAATAAGTCAATGGTATTTGGTATGCAGTTGTATTAGCATTGGCACATCTCATTTTCATGGAGTTTTTTTACCCATGTACCTTCAGTCATGGTTCATCGACTTTGAATATTTGCATAACTTACATGTTAAAGTATTGCTATTTTAATTTCAACATTTGCATTATCAAAATTACAAAAAGGCGAGACATATCTCTGTGATAACAGTTTATTTTTTGTAACTTTAATTATCAAAGTAAATCTAATGTGTATACATGTATTGCTAAATGTATGATATTTGAAAGTATATTAAGAAAAAGGTTTATATCTGCTTCATATTTATATAGATTTTAGCCTAAAATAGGAAAATATTTCATTTTCATCCATTTTCTTAGAAATTTTCAACTTTTTCCACCTTTTTTCATGATTTTATATGTGGCGCCACCCCTCGCCCATTAAAATTTTTGTTGAAAAGTAAAGAATATTTCAGCAAAAATATTTGAAGGCGAAGGGTGGCGCCACTGTTAATTTTTCAGAAAACTGTTATTAATTTTGCAGAATTCTGCAAAAAAGCAAGATTTTACACAATTCACCTACATTGTGAAGTCACAAATATGTCACTAATGATGCAATTGGTGAAAATCTTTTTAAGCTGTGAAATTATTGGACATTTTAGCATAAGTTTTCATCAAATTTTCACCACATTTTTGTAGGGAACAAATTTCAGATTTTTAGGGCAAAAATTATGAGTTAGTGAACCAACTCCTTTTCCAATAAATATTTATTTAATAACTATTCCAAGAATTAGAATATAGAAAAATATTCAACCAGTGACCGAACAACGCATTAATTCACGAATGCGCATGAATTAATTATCAGTGTTGTTGGTCACAAGTTGAATATTTTTATATATTTTAATTTTTTGATTAGTGAATTTTTTTTTATTACATTAACCATGGACTTTTGAATGGAAATAAAGTAGAAAAAAAAGGAACTATATTTTTTTCTAAACATTCTCAATTTTGTTATGCATCATCATTGACAGTGTCTTGACAACACCCAATGTTGTATGATGTCAAAAGAGTGTAATTATCCGATTTATTTTACTGGGAAGTCACGTTTATTCATTGTAAATAATGCAATAATTTATTTTACACTTTTGCATCTATTTTCAGGGTATATGGATTAGACAAGGGGCTGGGAGATCACGGTTATTCATTGTAAATAATATAATAATTTATTCTACACTTTTACGTCTATTTTCAGGGTATATGGATCAGACAAGGGGCTGTGGGATTTATTTCTGCTGTAGCTAAAACATTCAACATTGCAGACATACACTGTAAACTGTTACCACTGGTACAGGTCTTCCTTAATAAATCTGTTCTACAAATCAACAAAGAGGTTAGTTTCTATTTCAATATTAGTCTGATATTTTTTCGTTCTGAAAGATAGTTTTTATACGCCCGTTTACGGGACGATTATGGTATACCTTTGTCAGTCCATTCTTCTATCCGTCGTCAACATGTCAGACAATAACTCAAAAACGATTTAACCAATTTGCATGACACTTTGGCAAATTGTTTATATCTATTGACGTGAGCTCCCTTTTGATTTTTATAAATTTTAGATTTTACGTTTGCGAGTTATGGGGTTTTCTCATTAAAAAAGGGGGATTTTCCAGTTTTAGGACAATAAGTCAAAAATGCTTTGAGCAGTTTTCATGAAACTTTGGTGAATTATTTATATCTATTGACGTAAGCTTCCTTTCGATTATTATAAATTTTAGATTTTATGTTTAATAGTTATGGGATTTTATTCATAAAAAAGGGGGGATTAATAGTTATGGGATTTTATTCAAAAAAAGGGGGGATTTTCCAGTTTTTGGACAATAATTCAAAAGTGCTTTGAGCAGTTTTCAACCCAAAATGAAAACCCAAGATGTCAATCTTTATCATTTTTATTAGTCCCCTAATGACAAAGTTGAAGGGGACTTTAGGTTTTCACTCCGTCTGTCTGTCTGTCTGTCCATCCGTCAGTCCGGAAAATCAGTTTTCCACACTTTTTTTCTTCGTGCTTGAAGATATTGATTTGATATTTCAGTGGTGGATTTACCGGGGGGCACAGGGGGCACATGCCTCCTCAGTCGGGGTCACCAAAAAATTTTCTAACATAGTTTTATTGCTACTGTATCTGCTTATCTAGATATCTAGATCTAAAATCAAGACACAGCTTGATCAGACTTCCTAAACTGGTCGTTAATTAACCCCAGCTTCAACATGCGTGATTTATGGCAACTTATCGATGGGTGTGTAAATATTGACACCTTTGTGTAATGTCTATATCCAAAAGCATTTATGTAAACTACATGTACATCTACATGCTGATTGGAATTAATACGAATATATTTATTGAATTTCTAATACAATATTACAGGATCAAGATCGATTAACAAGAGAAATCTTCTGATCAGGAAAGAAATTACCAACTAAAATCGGTCTGAAAAGAATATGTAAAAATAGATGTTTAGTGTCAGGAATGTTAGTATCGATATGAGATACGTCTTTATTACCAAACACTCACATTGTATATGGTTTCTGGGGAATGTGTCTTTCTCAGAACAGTCTTTTTCGGACTTTATTAAACAACAAACGATTTTTTTAAACTGAATGTCGTGTTTTTTCCCTTTATTTTTTTTATGGAAACCAATGATTTGTCTTTAAAAAAAAACTTTAAGTCCCCTTCCACAAAACATGTATGGTCTGTGCCTTATATATATATCATTAATAAAATGATATTGTACTTTTAGAAAACCTATACTTATATTTGAGATAAAGAACAGCAATAAAAGCGCTGTTCCTTTGCTTATTGTGTGCTTTTTTGCTGTGCATGTACATTGTACTGATTTTGTGCCGTGGATGGATACCCAATATCCATTCTTTTTCTATTATAGTACAGTAATATGTGTATACACAGTTTTTTCTTGTTTTAATTACCATGTATGAGGGTATGAATAGGTTACCATGAATGAGGGTATGAATGGTTTACCGTGAATGAGGGTATGAATGGGGTTTACAGATTAGAGAATAATGGTCAAAAAGTAAAGACTAGAAAAAAATGTGCCCAAAAAATATAGAAAACAGATTAAAGCTGTGATGAACTATAAAGAATAGTGGACAATTGGCAGCAAATAAAAGAGTAGAAAGAAATGGATCCAAAAATAATGAAAAGATATAGAAATGAAGACCTGACGACCTGGTCTGACGATTTTATGCAGAGTTATGGTCCTTGAACTTAGAAAATTGCTCAAATAATCAGTTTTCCGCACTTTTTTTGTCATGCTTGAAGATATTGATTTGATGATTGGTATATAGTTTTATCCTGACAAGTTACAGATCAAGTTCAAATTTTGTTCCTGTCTAATGATTTTGTGCAGAGTTATGGTCCTTGGACTTAGAAAATTCACTCAAATAATCAGTTTTCCTCACTTTTTTTCGTCATGCTTGAACATATTGATTTTCATAATTGGTATATAGTTTACACCATGACAAGTTATAGATCAAGTTAGCATTTTGTTCCAATACAATGAATTTTTAACCGGTAGGGGACTATGTAATGCCAGGCAATACTCACAGAATGCTTGTTTTTGTACCAATTGTTTTGCATTAGTTGATACTGCAGTGTTCCAGCTAGGTCGTTTTCACAGGGCGGTCCGCCCGCCCTTTCCCGAGTGCCGCCCTGTGCCCTTTTTACAGTTTGCAGGGCGCCCTGCCTTTTTTGAAGATCGATTGGTATATTATTTTGTTCGTATTGATATGATCATCCAATTACGAAAAGTTACCTGGCGACAAGTATATGACTTTGTTTACGACCCCAAGCTAATCAACGGTTACAACAGGTGTCATAATCTGTTGTTATAGGTAATCCGTTTATCGGATGGGTCATTTAATGATCATCAACATTAATTCATTCAAATAGAATTGGTCAGTCGGCATTTGTCTTTGAACTTGAAGAAATGTTCATACAACTTGGGCACAATTAGCAATGTTTACCGTAGTTTCATGGAGAAAACGTAATTGACAGAAAGTCGAAAACCATAATCAACTCGTTAAAAACATTGCTCTTATTGTTTTCCGTGAAATAAATAGCAAATGAAGACGTATTTTTCATTGAATGCCTTCATTTTTTATACGAAAATAACAAAATCGGCCGCCATATTGTTGATCGTATTTACATCTTCTACGTACTGTTTATTATCCTCCAAAGGAGCACACCCAAATAAAGAAAGATAACTCAATCTTATTTTTTCCTAGCATTGAGTAACCTACTAAGATATTATAAAATATGTCTTCATACTTCTGGCTTTAGAATTTATATGTTTAGGTGTTTTGAGTTATGGGAAAAGTTAAAGAGGGTCTTAGTAGCAGGGTTGGTAGGATGCCTTGGTCATTTTTTTCTGTATTTTTTATTTTCAATCCAAATTTTCACTGTTCACTATATCCTAACATTGTGCATTTACAGCTGTTTTGTGCTGTATTGCCATTAAGCACAGAAAAGGTAGAAAGGTGAAACTTGTAAAGTGTGTCAGACCATAGAAACAGAATGAAGCAGGACATTTATTCAAAAAATACTGCATATAAAGCTTAACTGTGCCAAGCAATGATTTAAAACTTGTGTGACAAGCTGCTTGATAAGTTTTCAGCCTAAAAAGTAGAAAGATAGTTTTTCTCTGGGCTAATGATGTTGTTCTTGTATATATATAACCAGTGATTCAATGAACAAACAATGTTTGATTATAATCTTTATTAAAACATGCCCTTTTCATATTATCATATCACGCGTTAAGTGCCCTTTTTCAGGATTGGCACCCTGCCCTTTTGAAATCCTAGCTGGAACACTGTACTGTGTTGTGTTATTTTTTATACTTATATAAATTAGGTGAACCCTGCTTTTCTTCCTGTTTCTAAAGCTTGTACATATTAATTTATATTTTCTGACAATGTATATTGTGTACTTATGCTTTATTTTACATTAATACCATTCAATCATTTCAGGTTTATCTGTTAAACGCTCTAGAAAGTTCAGTCCCTCGAAAGGTGTTTGATTATATACTAAAATCTAACATGCTCGGCAGGCTGTTTGATACATTACAAGAAAGACAATATATGAGGAAGATTTACAGAAATAAAGTTACATATTCAGAAATGGACGAAAGCATGTCACAGGTAGATATTAAATATTTGAGGTAGCTGGGGTGTCTTCCTCCATCTTGGATTTTGAAATAGCCAGTGGGGGAGGGGGTTTCAGGGGTTGGAACCCCCCCCCCTTTTTTTCTTGACGATCAATGCATTTGAATGGGGATATATAGTTGGAACCCCCCCCTTTATCCTGGGTTGGGAACCCCCTTTTTAAAAATTGCTGGATCGGCCCCTGATAGCAAATAACAATCGCTGAAGATCTTTAATGAAATGTTCAAACTTTGAGAGTAGTATTTAATTCAGGTGTAAGACTTTTCTTGTTTTGAAATACAGAAAATTATGTGTTTTATCATATTTACGGCTGTATTTTACAAAAAGCGTGAAAAAAGCCCTGTGACCCATACTTTTTATTATATTTTTGAAAAAAGCATGACATAACTACATTTTGACAAATTTTAAAAAATTCTATGGATTTTAATTTAGACCCCCCATCTACCTTAATATTTTGAAATGTACAAAAGCATATCACAGGTAGATGTTGAATCTTTAATACTCAGAAATGGACACAGGAAGACTTATAATTTGTAATATTTTTTTTGTAAAATTTTACAGCTAAAAGTGCTGTCCAAATTTCTTGCAATGATCAAAACACTTTTAATAGAAGTTTCACAAAAATATCAGGCCATCAAACCAAAATTGCTTAGGTTTATATAATTTAATGTCATCTGAAGCTATTTATGATATAGTAAAATTGTATTTCAAGATTTGCATGCATCAATTGGCAATTTGATGCATGGTGGCAAATTGATTAAATGGATAATTCAAGATGAAGAATAGATTCAAAAGCAGTAATGTAAAGACTACCTTGTTGCTTTGTCAGGGCTAGGAAGGGTAGTTTAATTATTGAATGTGGGTCATTGGTCGTTTTTCAGAATGCGTCTATTACCATTATGCAAAATTATCTAAAAAATGGTTCTTGGTTGTAGGGATATTTTGAAAGTCCCTTCCTACCCTCCCACATACATTTTAATGGAATAGCCCTCAGCAACATGCTAAAGTATGTGTAAAAATCACTAAAAATATAACATGTCATCAGATCACCTGTTTCATGTTGATTTAATCAGAACTACCAAGTGGTTTTTTATGTTGTTTTTTTTTTCACCAGAATCATGATTTAGGCACTTTATATAGAATTTTTTTTTCTTTGTTTAGATATTCAGGAAGTTGTCATCACTAGGAATGGCTGAAGAACATGAAGATAAAATCCTGGTAAGATGTATATAAAATATGTTTGTTTTTAGTCCTTTTGTGATCATTTTTTTTTCAATTAAAGACAATTTTATAAAAATAAGGAGATGATGTTTGATTGCCAACTATCCACCAAAGCACAAAGATAAAATCAGTTATAGGTCACCATATGGCCTTCAACAATGAAAAAAACCCATACAGTATAGTTAGCTCAAATGACGAAGATAAATGCAATCATATGTCACCGTACGGCCTTCTACAATGAGCAAACACCCATACTGCATAGTCAGCTATAAAAGACGTGGCATGAAAAAATGTTAAACAATTCAACTTAGAAAACAAACAGCATGATTTATGTACAAAAAAATAAAATAAAAACAAAAGCATTAGACTGCAACCAATGACAATTGAAATACCTGCTCCTGACTTAGGACAGCCACATACAGAATGTGGTACCAGTAGGTCTAAAAAAGGGGCGAAAGATACCAGAGGGACATTCAAACTCATATGTCGAAAACAAACCGACAACACCATGGCTAAAAAAGAAAAAGACTAATAGACAAACAATGGTACACAAAACACAACATAGAAAACTAAAGACTGAGCAACACAAACCTCACCAAAAAATGGGGTGATCTCAGGTGCTCCGGAAGGGTAAGCAGATCCTGCTCCACATGTGGCCACCGTCATCTTGCTCATGTTATTACAAACCCCGTAATATGTCTAATTTGGTAGGTCATATTCAGGAAAAGGGTACAGGATTCTAACATGTTTGGCTGTAAGCCTGTTGTGACCTATGGATTATAATTTTGATCAAACACTGATATCACTCACATCTTTGCATGAACTGAATTTGATACAGCTAGCTGGTGCTGTAATCAGGAATCTGGGCTTGCATCGTTACTTCCGGTCATTTTTCACATGTGAAAAATAGACATATATCATTAAATGTAAGAGGAACAACTTATTACATTATTTTTCTGAATCAGGAAAGGTGAAATCTTAGAAATTTATTTTTGTGTTGAAAAGAAGAACATTAACTCAGCAAGCCAAATTACTGGTACCCAAAATAACAAGTAAGAGATTCAAAATTGCTGCCTTTTGTACTCATAAACAATAGTTCTGTTCTGTGCAGCAGACTTTTTTTGAAGGCATATGACTCTTTATCCAAGGATAAATCTGTCCATTAACTTAACTTTATTGAAATTTTCATATTTTTAGGCAATGAAAGATTACATAGTCAAGCTTCACAGAATCAGAGCTGGGTAGGTAGCAAGTACTACATGGATCATTTGAAGGGCAAATTTTTCACCTGCATAGTTAATGTGGGTACAGTTTTTGGTCAATCAACTGTTTTTCATTTTTTTGTATATAGCAATCACTATTTAGAAATAAGAACATGTGTTATGAGTGCCAATAAGACAACTCTCCATCCAAGTCACAATGTGTAAAACGTAAACCATCAAAGGTCAAAGTACGGCCTTCAACACGGAGCCTTGGCTCACACCGAACAGCCAGCTATAAAGGGCCACAAAATGACTAGTGTAAAACAATTCAAACAGGAAAATCAACGGTCTAATCTATATAAAAATGAGAAACGAGAAACACTTATGATTCACATCAACAAACGACAACCACTGAACAACAGGTTCCTGACTTAGGACAGGTGCAAACAAATGCAGCAGGTTTAAACATTTTAACAGGCGCCAACCTTTACCCTGGTTGGGATATTCACAATTATAGTTGAAGTAGGTAAGGGAACTATTGACTAGGTCATTTATGTACTGTAGGGTCTACATAGAAATTTTTTTGGGACTAATTTCACGACCCTGTGAAATGTGTGTGAATATTGCATGCATGTGAAAGGTTTAAAAGGGAAAAATAATTCTTAGATGCAGGAATTTAACCATGCATGGAAAGTTTATGAATTGAAATAGTGAAAATAATTGTGTTTTCAATACCACAAGGAATTATGACATTTTGAGTGGCAAACATACAGTTTCTGAAAATTTTGATCTATCAAATAAAGCAGATAATTTTTAGACATGTAGTTTATATACTTCTTAATCAACTTCATCTTCAAAATCTACTTTTTATGCTGCCTCTAGAGGGGCATTATGTTTTCTTGTCTGTGTGTCTATCTGTTATTCTGTCTGTGTGTCCATCTGCTATTCTGTCTGTGTGTCCATCTGTTATTCTGTCTGTCTGTCCATTTGCATTCTTGTACGAGGTGAAAGATTTTGGTCAAGGTTGTTTAACACTTAGTTGTCGTAAGAGGACCTTATCCTCCTTTAATATTGCCATAAGTGTTCTTTATCTACTACTATATTGTTTGAATGAGTATGTATATGTTTAAATAACCTTATAACTCATTCAATGCCTGTTTTGAGGTGTTCTGTTTATATGATAAAGAATTTCAAAATTCAGGTCAACACCTCTCATGGGTGATATCCCCCAAAAATTGGGATAGTTGGCAGGTATGCAAGTTGTAGTGACATCAAGCAGAAATTTAGTACACATGTTTATTATGATGTGAAGAATAAGGATATCCTCATTTTATTTCATAAACCTAACAAAAAATTACTTGCAGATCATCAGAAACTGAACCAAGAAATGGAGAGGAGATGAACAGACCTGGGGAAATAAATGTCATCAGTTTTAGAGCTGTTACACGGAGGCATGCTGAACTGGAAAGAAGTAAAGATTCTAAAATGGATGGATCAACTGGTACCCCACCAAGGTTAGTATTGACTGGTTCCCAACCAAGGTTAGTATTGACTGGTTCCCAACCAAGGCTAGTATTGACTGGTTCCAAACCAAGGTTAGTATTGACTGGTTCCCAACCAAGGCTAGTATTGACTGGTGTAAGACCAAGGTTAGGATTGGCTGCTTCTTTACCAAAGTATATTTTGACTGGTTCACAAGCTACCTCATTACAATGCTCTAGCACATTTCTTCTGAGAAAAGATCCAAATTTTACTGCCAAATGTGACAAAAACCTTTTCGATCAGCACATGAGAATGAAAGACCTATTCCTGAAACTTTTAAAATCTTTAATTCAATGATTAGAAAATTTAATTCAATAACCAACCATTGAATACTGTAAACCTTGCAAATTGCATACAGATTTATTTTTGCTTATTTTGGGGTCTCACAAAATGTTCAAGATATCCCATTTGAAAAAAAAATGAGTACCAAACAACAATATTAATGTGATAGGGGGATTTTTCATTTGATGCAATCATTCAACCAAAGCTAAAAATGAAATCACAAAAATAAATCAACCTGCAAAAATATTCAAGTTTACAGCTGTACTGTTTTCACAATAAATGTAATCACAATCTACTGTAGCTGTTTTCATGATAATTCTTTTTCATTATAGTCGTGGAAAGAAGAAACAACAAACATTAGATAGTCAGACATCAAGTTCTATGGTAAGTTTTAGTCGCTGGTTTCATTTCTATTTTTTTAGTAACAGGTCATTTACTCTTCCTGTTTTATTTTTTCAGGTCAGTTTTCACTCGTCATTTCTAACATTTGCTATTTTACTATATAATCATTATAATTTTCAAAATCAGTGTTGATATTTAAAAAAATCTTATATTTAGAATGTAATTTATAGATGTTTAGTTTCACTCATTTTTCATATTTTGAAGCTTCCATATTCAATGTTTATCACCACAATGACCTGTAACAATAGAAAAACAAATACTGTGGATTCATTAATATTCGTTGGATACCAATTTTCGTGGGTTTCGTGGGTACAGATCAACCACGAATTCAGATGTTCAACAAATTACAAATTTTCTATAGGCTTTGTATGCAGAGATTGGCAAAACCACTGATTTAAATATCCACGAAAATGTAAGTTTTCCTCAATCCACGAATATTGATACCCACGAAAATAAATGAATCCACAGTATATTGGGTATCCATCCATGACACAAAATCAGTACATGCACAGCAAAAAACACACAAAAAGCCAAGGAACAGTGCTTGTATTGATGTTCTTCATCTCAAAATCACAGTGAGGCAAGTCCATGTAGTTTCATCTACAGTTATCACTAGCCTGTCAACACTGTGGTTGCGAGTTTGAATCCCACTCATGGCAAGCTGTGTTCGATCTCATCTTAATTGCCCAGGATTGCTAGTTTTCCTGCAGAGTTTCGGTAGTTCTCTCAGGGCAATCTAGCTTCCTCTATCTATAAAAACCTGACCTTCATGATATGGCCAATCATGCTGAAAATGATGTTAAACACCAAACAACCAATCAGTGATGTAAACAATAATTTGAATATATATCAGTTCCTTCTTGATAGAAGCTAGACACAAAAACAAATGTATACTGCAAGAATATTCCATAAGTTTATTGTCCCCCGCGTGATGCATAGCGGGGGACATGGAAATACTGGGCTTCCGTCTGTGTGTCCATCTGTCTGTCTGTCTGTCCGTCCCGTCTTGTTAGCGCTCAGACAAGTTCTATGGTGGCTATCAACTTTTTTTAAAAGAATTTGTGTACAAAAATTGCCGATTTCAGAATAATTTTTTTTTTCAGAATCCAGAATGGAAGAGTATGTTTGGTTCTAGTGATTCTAGCTCCGCTACAGACTCGCCGAAATCCAAGTCGGTTATCAAGGCGGATTTACAGGAGAAAAAGATCAGTTCTAGTACAACTTCACTGACTAGCCAAGGATCGTCTAACTCTGGCAGTTTTGTAACCATGTCACAGGGACAGATATCTATCCCAGAAGGCACTCTGGCAAGGGGAACAATTGGGGCAATTACTCAAGATATGAACAAAATTATGGCTAGTAAGTTCAGTCTTCATGATAAACTTTTGAATCTACAGGCCCGAAGCTAAAGTTAACAAATAATTTTGTTAGATTCGATTGGCCTATAGTGCTGATTTTTACATGCCCAACAGCATTTTTACAAGCCTGGGTTGGTGGGTCTGTGGTTGACCATGAAGACTGTAAGTTTGAATAATTCTTTCAAGGGGAATCATTAGGGTTTTCAATCTTTATATGAATGAAATCATGGTCTGAAAGTTTAGGTATTCTTGGAGTAGGAGCAAAATTTAAACTAGTAGAACAGACAAAGGTATTAAGGTACAAAAAAATACTTTGTTCTTTATTTTAGGAGGTGCATTAAGGGTCCTTTTCGGCTGACAAAAATGAAGTACCCTGGATTAATTATTGTTGATCGGATACAAGTTTTTGTGGTTTTGTGGGTATAGGTAGACCACCAGTTTAAATGTTCAACAAAGTAAACCAAATCTATATGCAGACTTCAGCAAAACATCAAATTCAAATATCCAGGAAAATACAATTTCCCCTCAATCTACCAAAAATAAATGCATCCACAGTATTTTTGTGACGTTGAAATTGCATTTATTGTGAAGTCCTGAGTAAAAACCTTTTGGTTTTTAATTTTCCATACCTCAACTTGAAAACAGACATAAATTGAAATCTTTAATTTTTAAAAGTTCAAATTTCAATAGACCCAACTGTTTGAATAAAATTATTACTTCCGGATCCATTTCCTGTCAGAAAAACATTGAAATATTTTTATCCTATTTGCCGATATATTCTTTTCTCCGCTATTCGATTATACGATGAAATTAACATTAAACGTATAGGGAAGGTTTTGGTGTTTTAAAATAATATTACAAAAGCTGATATATACGTTTAGCCGATATCTGATTAGGTGGAGTCTGCTGTATAAGAAAAGCGGAATAATCAGTGGTATCACTGAAAATATAATCAATGTTAGCATAAAGGTAGGTATTTTAAAAAGAAGTTTGGAAAAGAGAGGCGGAAGATACCAAAGGGATATTCAAACCCTTTAAGGATGTTCGCTACTCTGTTTCAAAATAACAAGCTTTTTAAAAGACTGTTATAAATTGAAAGTATATGAATAAAGGAACTAACAAAGTAGAAAAAAATGAATGGGTCCGTGTGTTTGTTTTCAAGATATAAGCCATTGAAAATTTGGCGGGAAGTGGTTCTCTCTTGATTTTTCATACATTTAACATTGTCGCCTTTTTTCTTTCAAAATCTATGAAAAAATAACAAGGATTTTATAAGATTTTAAAAAATTGCTTTTAAAACTATACGTAATTAAAATATGAAAAGAAAAGTAGGGTTTGTGGCCAAAATTTTTTAATGGCACTACATGGATAAAACCAGAGGATTCTGAATATCTGGCAAAAATTCAAAACAAGAAGAGCGAACATCCTTAAGTTGATGACAATGCTAAAGCAAGTTACACAAATAACAAAAAAGACAAATATAACCCAATATACTGTGGATTCATTATTATTCGTTGGATACCAATTTTCGTGAATTTCATGGCTTCAGTTAAACCACAAAATTAAATATTCAACGAATGACAATTTTTCTATAGGCTTGTATGCAGACTTCAGCAAAACCACGAAATTAAATATCCACATACATGTAAGTTTTTCTTAATCCGTGAAAATTGGTACCCACGAAAATAAATGAATCCACAGTAGTTTACAAAACACAACCTAGAAACTAAAGACTGAGCAAGATGAACCTGGAGTGATCTCAGGTACTCTTGAAGGGTTAACAGATCCTAAGATATTAAATCAGTTTTATTTAAAATTCAAATTTGGATGCTCTTATTCGATAGTGCTTGTTCTTTGTGTGAAGTTTTAAATTTTCTAAATTTTGGAATAAAAAACAACAATGATGACAGGTCTCATTGTCACTTGTTTCTATTTTGATCAGCACGGTACAATCCCTGCAAACTGGAGTTACGGAACTTGGTACATCAACAGAGAGACAGATATAATGATGAGATCCTGTCCAAAGACTTACTGATTGATGATTTGTCACCATGGGAAAGTCAACCACCATTGTCAAACTGGAGACCTAAAGGTTTACTGGTTGCTCACTTACATGAGCACAGAGGAAGTATTAATAGGTATGTAAAGATACTGTAAACCAACTAATTTTCACCAGCCATTTATTTGCACGTCTTTCGCAAGTAGAAAAATAACGCAAATATAAATTGTCTCAAATATGTAAAACTTGGATCTTTCCTCATTCAACTTCATCAAGCAAATTTGAAAATCGCGAAATTAAATCACTGCGAAATGGGCTAGTAAGGGCTAAACGCAAAATAAAGTATCTGCGAAAATAAGTTGGTTTACAGTAACCTCTAAAATATCTATATATTATAAAATCTGATAACACTTAAAAACAAAAGAAATGCACAGAGGTCCATTAATTTCTTTGGAATGAAAATTTTCAATGTGTACTACTCAGTTTTATAAAAGTTATTGATATGAGTCAAAATTGTGACACAATAATTCTGGGGTCTTTAACATAACATTTTGTGAAAATGAACATTTTGTGAATTTTTTATTTTTGATGTCTCCAAACTTATATTTTCAACTGAAAATTAAAAGTTGACTCAGCTTAGACTTTTGATTATTTGTCTTAAATCATCTAATCTCCAATTTTAAAATAATGAGCCACAGTTGTATACCAAATTTTACCAAAATCTGAGACATAGCTCATTTTTTTTTGTAACTTGACATTAACATATATTTTACTCTCATTTTAAGATTCAAGGTGTCATATGATCATTTCTTTGTTATTGTAGCCTAATAATAAAATATGATGTATAAAAGATTAAGATTTTGAAAGTTTATATTTAAAGTATATTTCAACATTTTCAGAATCCAAGTGTCATGTGATCATTCCTACTTCGCCACAGCTTCCAATGACGGCTCAATAAAACTGTGGGAGTGTGACAAGTTAGAAGGCAAAAGTAGTATCAATAGATCTAAACAGACCATAAATCTCAAAGGTAATTAACCGTTTTATTAAGTTTATTTTTGACCAGCTTGTGTACGGCTAAAGTTGACATTAAATGTGAATTTGCCACTTTCATATAATCCAGAAAAAAATTGGGGTTAAGACAATCTTTTTTTCTTGATTTTTCCGTCATAAAAGTGACATTAAAAGTAATTACTATAAAAACAAGCCCTAATATTAAATACCCCCACACCAAAAAAAAGTTATTACTATGAAGGTTTACCTGTTGGCCTGACAGTTAAACTATGAAGTATAAAAGATTCATGATCTCTTTGAAATTGTTTCTAGTATTTGACTTGTTTGCATCAAAAAATATTTTTTTTTATAAAAAAAAAAGAATTTTAATTGATTGAATAATAAAAATATAAATGGTTAGTAGCAAAAGAACCAGGATGTCTACATATATTTAAGTACGTCTGCGCATGTGCACTGGTATGCAATTTGATAATGAAGTCGAAACCTTTCAAAATGATGAAAGGTATATTTTTTAATAAGTTATGCCATTTATCTTATGTTCATTTCAAATATTTACTTATATTTATATAATGTGGAGAAAATGACTTGAAGTGAATTATACTTGACACAAATACACAGATTTAAGTTTTGCCGTTACTGTTCAATCACTGTCAAGTCAACATCGTGTTTCTGAAAACATGTGCATGTAAAACAAAAGTTAACGTTTCTTCTCAGTTTGTTATTACAATAATAAAGAATTCAGTGCAGATGTGAATTTTCTGAGGGGTTCCAAACTTTAAACAAATGCACTGTCATTTAACAGAACTATCAATGTACACAATAATGTCAGGTCATGGAATTCATATCAAAAGTATGAACTAATGTCAGTTCAGGGAATCCATATCAAAAGTATGAATTAATGTCAGTTCACGGAATCCATATCAAAAGTATGAACTTATGTCAGTTTAAGGGATCCATATCAAAAGTATTTTAATTCTGCAAGAGTTGTCTATCATAATTTGAATTTTGCAAAAGCTGCATGTCTCCCATATCTTGGATTCTTCAATAGTTAAGTTATCTTTTTGTAGAGGGTGATAATTTTGCACGATTTTTTTATGTACAAGGACCATTTATCTGTTATCATCATGAGATTTTGTTTGCACAAGTATCTTCCTGTGACATGTTAAACAAAACAGAAAATCTCAGAATTTCCTTATTTATATTGGAGGAAACAAAACAAAGTATTTACAAATGAAGTAAAATTACTTGTCTGAAGCTAACAAAAGAATATTGAATTTATGCAACCTATTACCTTTCCGTGATTACATAAAATGCAAGGGGACGGTAACTGGTAACTCTCGATAAGAGGGTCTCAACCAATAGCTGACTCTTTTGATTTAACTTTGTTTGGTAATCTATATATATATATATATATATATATATTATGTTTTGCTATTTTTTTCACCATCTAACTAGTAGATTTATAAATTTGAAAACAAAAAAATTTACGTTTTTGTTATCTCCCCTTAAACAAGTACAGATTGTACATTTTTGTTTATTTCCCCTGAAAATGTATATTTATCATTTTCCATAATTTATTTACCTTATGAAGATTATTTTGTGGTAATTTTAAATTGAGATGATCATATTAAAATTGACAATTAATTTTATTTGCAGTGAGATTACCAATTGTAAAGTTTGTATTATGTAAAAATATTTTTACTTCGAGAAGAAAATGAAAGATGAGAGAGAACTGTTATGAATCTGCCCAAACTTTAATAGCAGATTTAGTTTTTGTAGGTTGTCTAGCTCTTCTGGCTAGGTGATAAAGTTTCTAACTTATCTACTACATATCTTACCAAGCAGGGCACTGTCTATTAAATAAATGTAAAGATAGAAAAAAATAGCAGATTTAGTTTTTGTAGTTAGTCTAGCTCTTCTGGCTAGGTAATAAAGTTTCTAAATTAATCAATTCATATCTTCCTAAGCAGGGCACTGTCTATTAAAAAATTAATTCTCAGTCTTCCATTGGGACAGTTCTTTATGCAATTTCCAGCCGAATCGGAGACATTTTTTGTTTTAACCTAAACTTTTAATTTATTTTCATTTATGTTTTGTTCATATCATAATCAGTGAACTAGAAGGTGCTATGAGGGCCTTGTTTGGCTTCAAATTTTTAAGATTCTAAAGATCAGGTGATCTGTTGGTAAAAGTTTGTGAGAAGCAAAGTTTGAAATGTAAGATCTTTCAAATATGCTCACAAAGATGTAACAAATATAGCATAAATGTAATTTTTGCACTTAAATGATGGTCATTGCATTTGTTTTAACACATACATGTACCACACAGATATTTGTTAAAGTTGGTCATTAATGGTGGATAGAAGAATTTTTTTTACATTGTTTTATGACAATTGTTACCTTTTATCATTTTATGGGGTACCTGGTAACCCTCTACTAACATTTTTCCCTTTTTCGCTGAAATTCCCAGATAAGGAAAATAACACTTTCTAACCAAGAGTTCCAAATGGTCAAGTTGAAATCATCCCTTCGTAAATTTTACGGACGTCATCACGAGTTGGTTGACCGTTATGGAATAACCGTTTCACAGATGATATCGGATATGTTCCTTATGTCGTAACTACAATACCCTTCCCTTTTCACAAATGTGACCTACCAAATTAGACTATTTACTGGATTTGTAATAACATAAGCTACACGACGGGTACCACATGTGGAGCAGGATCTGCTTACCCTTCCTGAGCACCTGAAATCACCCCCCGTTTTTGGTGGGGTTCATATTGCTTAGTCTTTAGTTTTCTATGTTGTGTCATCTGTGCCGTTATTTGTCTGTTTGTCCTTTTATTTTTGGCCATGAGGTTGTCAGTTTGTTTTCGATTTATGAGTTTGACTGTCCCTCTGGTATCTTTTGTCCCTCTTTGGTGTGTCTGTGTAAGCTCTTTCCAGGATTTGGCTCAAACCCAAAATTTTGAAAGCTAAAGTCGATATTTGAGTACTTGAATTCATGAAATGATTGCCTATCACAAATGGAAGAGTTTCTTTAAGTAGCCCACATTTAGATTTGGTTCTTATTATTTCTTGGTAATTGATGTTTACCAAAGAATTAAATGCTTCGTTTTGCAGTTTTTTTTGTCATTGTATCATGATAATGTTTAGCGGGGAAGAACTTCAAATTCTAAAAAAAATATGCATATTAAACATGGGTACATCCTTATTTAAACTTGACACCCAAAAAGGAAGCATTTAATATGATTATAATTACATTTTGATGCTAAAACTGGGAAAATACAAATCAATAAAGCTTTTTATTTATTTTTGATTTTTAAATATTCCTATGCACTGTTTTAATGTTTCTCTCCCCTCCCCCTCTTCATACCTCCAAATGGTATTTCATTTAATTTTAGCACCACTGACAAGTCTTATGTAGAAGAAACATGTGTCTGATGTAATAAATTATAAGCCTGGTATATATACTATTTGTATTTTCTTTTATTTTGCTAGAAATTTTTTTAAGAAAATTTCCCTTCCTCAGTTTCAGATGTTTCAAATATTAGATGATGATCTAAAAAAGATTATTGGTGTAACTTTCCATCATTTAAGAGAGACTGTATGGGGGTCCCACTATTCTCTACTCTCTATATTATTTAGCTGCTAAAATTTAGCACCACATTTTTCTTTTTTTTTGTCCATTTTCCTCTTTTCTTTTTCCCCACCTTTATTCTGCATTTTTTGCCCATTATTTTCTATTCTGTAAACCCCATCCAGACCCACATTTAAAATCTCCAGTATTTGTTTTGTTATTGTAAAGATATCAGTAGTTATCTCCCATGCTAAACACAGTTTTAAGTATTTTTGTCATTTTATCCAAAATCAATTCTTGTTTTATTGTTTTTGACAAAAATTTTAGTTTGCAGCAGGAAATGTCATTAAAACTTAAAATAATATAAAGTTTTAATCAAAATAATCATAATCATTTTGAATATAGAAATAAAATATAAGAACTTTTTAATGTTTAATGTAAGCAAAGTTTATTTAATGAGGCAAACAAGTGAAACTTTCTGAAAGCAAGCTCAAAGCTTAATATAGGTTTTTCGAAACAAACTTAGAAAATACTAAGTTGTATTATAAAGGATGATACAAAAAAATAAGATATTTTATATTATAGTGTTATGAACTGGCTGTTTCTGTGTTGGCCCTGTTATAGATTCTAGGTAAGTTGTTTTGGACCTGACAAATTGAAGTTTTTAACGACCTTGACTGGCTATACAGCCCTTGCACGGTCGGTTTGGACCTGAGACTCGAAGAGTCGAGGCCAATACAGCTGATCGAGAATCTATAACAGGGCCAATACAGAAACAGCCAGTTCATAACACTTTTATTAAATGATTTTAATTCTTCGATTAAACTAAGAAACTTACCATGTAGAAGATACAGAAATTCATATCTGAACTTGTCTTTTTGCATTCACGATGGATTTTTTGTCAACATTGTCAGATGTAATTTTTGATTTCTCGTCCAAATACTTAATCTTATGCTATTACAATTTATTTTATCTAGCAAATATAAAGTAGCTGGAAAGAATAAATCAGACAGTTTTACTGTTGGACTTCAATCGTCTGCGTTCTGATGATTGATCAATGGAAATGAAACAAGTTATAATAATGGAAAGTCGTACTCGAAAAGGCTGTGAAAACACTGAACACAATTTAACTTTTTTTATGATATTAAGTTAATAAAATTTAACAGAATTAACATAACCTCTTGCCAGAGAGACAGTCCCTCGTTTAAGGGATATCACTCATTTGGGAGATAGACATATTTACACTTGTATGCAAATTTGTCCGCCATTATGTAAAATCATACAGGTTCCGTAAACTTTTCCCAACCTGTTTATCATCGCGATCGCTTCTGTGCCTTTTACGTTGTTTTGATACTTTTTATTCCATTTCAACAATTTCAATACAACTATCCGTTTTAGTTGACTTATTTGGCCTAGAATATTCCTTATCACCATCGTCATCTGCCTGTCTCTTCCCCTGATTAATAAAAGAAAACATTGAAATTTGATGATCCACCATTTTTGTCAATGAAAACAATCAGTGAGGCGCGATAAGTATTTAAATTTATACGGTGCGGAACCGAAAAAAATCCGGAAATTTGAAAAAAAGCCGACCACCTCCTAAAATGGAAAGGTGGTCGGCACACCCGGCTTAAATGCCGAATGGAAAACACTGATAAATATGATACAAATGTATTTTAAACATAACGATACGTCCAAAGTTAAGTAAGCTTAGGCGTAAGAACATTGAACCCGGAAGTGAACGTCCCGTATTAACCCATGGGCCAATACGGCTTTTTTCGGTATTGGCCCGGTCAGAAAATCAATATTAACTGTTGATTTATATCGACAGATCGTCATCAGTATTGCACATGCTGATTTATCCATATTAGGGATGATTTGCTCATATCATTTAATAAAGAGTAATTATATGTGTGTTTTCATATGGATCGTGTAATAAGTCTAAGTATAGACGTGTTATGTCATGGTACACCTCGACATCAATACAGCTGATTAAGAGACAATATGACTTACGGCTCTGGTGTTGTTGGTGTTAGGTTGTTTAACATCAGCCTGAAACTTGGTACACATAATCATAATGTTTTGAACCATTTTTAAATATACCGGTATGCACAATATGATTTTTTCCCAGATTTTGTGGTTCATTGTATATAGAAATGTGATAGTGTGAAAGGAGCAGGGTTGTCCTTGGGACCCATATTCTTGTTTTTGAATTAGAGTTAACGTTTTTTCTTATCTTTTTCAGATGGTAAAATCAACAGTTTAGTATTCTGTGAGGGTTCCCTGTCTCTGGCTGCTGCTACAGAGAATAACAATATACATGTGTACAAGTAAGTTATGTGTCAAAGAGAATGCCAATGTACATGTGTACAGGTAAGTTATGTGTCAAAGAGAATGTCAATGTACATGTGTACACGTAAGTTATGTGGCAAAGAGAATGTCAATGTACATGTGTACAGGTAAGTTATGTGTCAAAGAGAATGTCAATATACTAGTGTACAAGTAAGTAATGTGTCAGAGAGAATGTCAATGTACATCGATGTGTACAGGTAAGTTATGTGTCAATGAGAATGCCAATTTACATGTGTACAGGTCAGTTATGTGTCACAGAGAATATAAATAACTATGTGTCCAAGTAAGTTTCCTGCCTCAGAGAATGTCAATGTGATTGTGTCCAAATAAGATTTATATCATAGAGAATGCCAATAAATATGTGTACAAGTAAGTTTCCTTACACAGAGTGTGTGAATAAACATGTGTACAGGTAAGTTTTATGCCACAGAGAATAACAATATACATGTGTATCTAGGTAAGTTATGTGTCAAAGAGTATGCCAATGTACATGTGTACAAGTAAGTTATGTGTCAAACGAGTATGCCAATGTACATATGTACAAGTAAGTTATGTGTCAAAGAGTATGTCAATGTACATGTGAACGAGTTAAGTATCAAAAAGAATACTAGTGTGTACATGTGTACAGGTAAGTTTTCTTCCACAGATAATGTCAATATAATATGTATACAAGTATACAAGTATTTTTCTGCCACATAGAATGGGTTTATTCAATGTGATTTTTTAAAACAAGCATTTTTCAATTTCCTGACTTTTGAAAAATAGTAATGAGTTACTAGATATAAGAAGATGTGGTATGAGTGCCAATGAGACATCTCTCCATCCTAGCCAAAATTTATAAAAGTAAACCAATATAGGTCAAAGTACGGTCTTCAACACGGAGCCTTTGCTCACACCAAACAGCAAGCTATGAAGGGCCCAAAAATTACTGGTGTAAAACCATTCAAACGGGAAAACCAACGGTCTAATCTAAATAAAAAACGAGAAACCAGAAACACTTATGAACCACATCAACAAACAACAACTACTGAACATCAGATTCCTGACTTAGGACAGGTGCAAACAATTGCAGCGGGTTTAAACGTTTTAATGGTACCAAACCTTCACCTTTATCTGAAACAATAGTGTAACATCACAACATAGAAAGACACACCACTTTTAAAGGGGTGTTTAACTTCTGAAAACTGAAAAATTCACCTTACTTCATGATCTAGTACTCTGATAACATATTTATTTACATTCTTATAACACAACACTCTATTTACACGTGGTGGTGACGTACAAGAACCGAATCGAGTGCACTCAAAACATAAATAGTTGAAGTATGAACTTGTGTATTACCTTTTGAAAATATATGTTATAATATATTCACAGTACTACAATTATTTATAGTTACTCTATCTATATATAGATATAAGAAGATGTATTATGAGTGCCAATGAGACAACTCTCCATCCAAGTCACAATTTGTAAAAGTAAACCATTATAGGTCAAAGTATGGTCTTCAACACAGAGCCTTGGCTCACACCGAACAGCAAGCTATAAAGGGCCCCAAAAATGACTAGTGTAAAACCATTCAAACGGGAAAACCAACGGTCTAATCTATATAAAAAACGAGAAACAAGAAACACTTATGAACCACATCAACAAACAACAACTACTGAACATCAGATTCCTGACTTAGGACAGGTGCAAACAAATGCAGCGGGTTTAAACGTTTTAATAGGTTCCAACCTTCACCCCTATCTGAAACAATAGTGTAACATCACAACATAGAATGACACACTATGAAATGTTTTATTTACTTGAAATTTTATAGTTCTATATATTAGACAATTTCTACTCATTCTGTCATCTGTAATCACAATGTATTATGTATAATTGATGCTCTTTGAGCGCAGTTACTGCGTCTGAGTTTGTTTAATAAAGTTCTCTAAAGTTCCCTTATTTTTATGTTGTATGTTTTATTAATACAAATAAATTACAATTACAACTTCCCATGAGGTGCTTGCATGGTCTGAAATTACAAAATATAAAGTCAACAATGAACATGCCTTAATTTTGTTGCCATTTTAGGCTTATTTTATGTAGTAATAAGTATGTTGATATATTTTTCCTATTAATAGATGTTGATATATTTTTCCTATTAATAAATATGTTGATATATTTTCCCTATTAATAAATGTGATGATATATTTTTCCTATTAATAAATATGCTGATATATTATTCCTAATTATAAATATATTGATATATTTTTCCTGTTAATATATTTTTTTCAGAATAGAAAGTGGTAAAGCAAATGCTGTGAACAAACTAGAAATAGATAAAGAAGAATTTGGTAAAGTTGTTGATGTAACTCATTATGACACAGGTAAATGCTGCTGATTAAGTTGTTGATGTAACTCATTATGACACAGGTAAATGCTGCTGATTAAGTTGTTGATGTAACTCATTATGACACAGGTAAATACTGCTAATTAAGTTGTTGATGTAACTCATTATGACACAGGTAAATGCTGCTGATTAAGTTGTTGATGTAACTCATTGTGACACAGGTAAATGCTGCTGATTAAGTTGTTGATGCAACTCATTATGACACAGGTAAATGCTGCTGATTAAGTTGTTGATGTAACTCATTATGACACAGGTAAATGCTGCTGATTAAGTTGTTAAAGTAACTCATTATAACACAGGTAAATGCTGCTGATTAAGTTGTTGATGTAACTCATTATGACACAGGTAAATACTGCTGATTAAGTTGTAGATGATTCATTAGATATGATTTTCAAACTTTTTAAATTCATGTTTGGAATTACTGTGGATTCCTTTATTTTTCGTGGAATGAAGGAAAATATATTTTCCATAGATATTTGATTTCCTGGTTTTGCCAAATTCTACATATAAGTCTTTAGAAAATGATACTTTGTTGGAATATGCTAATTCATTGTTCACCTATACCTACGAAATCCACGAAAACTGGTATCCCACGAATAAACATGAATCCACAGTATGCTGTTTATAAGAAATTATAGATCCAAATCCCCTATAAACAGATTGCAACAGCACCCATGTCATTTCAGTATAACTTAAGATCAATTTTTCTCAAAAGATTTTTTTTGTGAAAGAAGGGGACATATTGTTTTTGTGTCTGTGTATCCATCTTTTCATTCATATTGTTTGTGCATCTTATATGAGTTTGAAGTTTTGGTTTAAGGTAGATTGCTTTAATGTCAACTTGATACTGAGAACACAACAAATTATGGTTTTACCCAGCATTCCTGGTTAACTTATTAAGGAAATGTACTAGTGTGAACAGAGCTTGCTGTCCTATGGACACATATTTTTGTTGTTGTACATACAATTGTAGAAAAGCTTGATGTAAAAAAACCTTATAGAGAATTTAAAGTCATCAAATCCTGCATGTGTGTTTGCAAAACCCAGGACTCAAATAATTTTTCAGGGCAACATGGTTCTGAACCTATTCAGGTGTTAAATTTACACCAAGCAAACCACATATACTGTTTAAGGAACAAGCAAGAGCAACATACTCAAGTAATATTTTATGTCCCTGACTCAATATGTTTTCTGTGTAGTAGGAACCCAGTCTGTCATGGCTGCCATGACCTACACTAAAAAAAAGAATACAAAATTGTTAACTTTATTAGTTTTGTTTGATGTTAGCCTGGATTATGTTATAGATGGTATACCAACTAAATTTTTCTCCTAATATTCAATTATTCTATTCAAACATTTAAAACAAATGTTTACCAGTTTAGCTTTATGTTAAATAAAGTCGCAGTTTATTTTCACAAATTCCAACCCTTTCTGGTGACCCTGGAAAAATTTCAAACATTTCTTTGCAAATAAGAAAATACACTACACAAGGGTTAGTGGAGGACGACATTCTGCATGCAACACACAGATTTTGCAGTGTTATTGTGGCATTTATTACATAAAATTTGTGGTGTGAACATCACCTTGACACCTGAAACTTGTTGAATGAGATTATAAACATAAGCAGTAATACACAGTAGCAATGATTAACCAACCTACATACATGTACACATAATTAACGAATTTAGTAATTGTCTTCTTTTTGGTCAGGAATATACATATATATTATACTGGAGTGAAATATTCCAGTTAATCCTGCAATTTGATTGGTTACCTAATAGGAGATACAAGCCCATATCTCATGTGAAGGGAAACAAAAATGAAAATGGTAAGGGATCATAGATTTATTCTTACGAGGAAGCTCCGAGCATGCTCGGAGGATGCTCAGAGCTTTTTAAGTAGGCTCTTCTCAGAAGTTAATGTGACAATAATTATCATGATCCATTAAGATGTCAATCAAATCTATAGCACTTTTATAATAAGGAAAGTAGAGCATTATAGAGGAAGCTCCATTAACACCTGTGTAAACATCTGGTCTATTCAAACAAATCTTGCATTAATTTTACCAAACTATAGAATAGATGAGAAATTCTTCAATATTACTGTACAATGCTTGGTTTCAAGTTTTCACAGAAAAAAATGATTTTAAAACATTTTCTTAATAATTATCATTCTTTTTCAATACACATGATACAAAAAAACACTCAAATTTTATATTTAATATATAATATATTTTAAATTTATACTATATAAAATGAAATATAAAAGTCATCAAAGACACAAACTATGGTTATTGATTTATAACCATACTACCAAAACATAGTACATTCAGTTTCATGTGAAAAAGGGTTGATCTTTTTTTATATTTCATTTAATTTGACAGTTGCTTGAAATTAACCCTCCATTTCATTGCAGATATTTTTTTTTGAGTTGTAAACATGTATCTTGGGTGTTTCAAAGCAATAAAAATATACTATATTCTACAGGGAAAAAAGGGGGAGAGAATATGATTGGTTAACTTCTGGTGATGTTTACTTTCTTATATGCATTAAAAAGTTATGGTATATTTTCACTGTAGTACAGGACAGGATAAAACTTTATTTATGTCAAGTAATTTATTTAAAACATAGATAAATTCTGCACATTTTTTTTGTAATATAACAATCATGACAATTAAACAAAGACTTATAGGGGGAAAATAATTATACTCATGCCAAGTATTTCTTTATTTTAAACAAAGCACAATTAAAAAAAAAATGCCAAGTAAAGAGAGACGTACTAGAGGGAAAACAATGGTGGTATTACCCCCACAAACCAGGCTTCCACTAATGAATTACAACTTTTCTTAAAGTAGCCATAATTTTCTATAAAAGAACTTAGTTTTCTATTTAAAAAAAACATATTACCATTGTTTAGTTAGGGGCATTATTTAAACAAGTAATTTTGAAAATTACCTATACAAGTTATGTTGAAAACGAGGCTGTTTCAAATATTACTTCTATATCATGAATAAGTAACTTCTGTTAATATTATTTTTATAGGTGTCCATTCATACAGGTTTTACTAGCTTTAACAAATTTTCACAGACGTCTGGTTATTTTCCCCATGAAATATACTGGTAAAACTATTTAAATCCTCAACAAGCACTAATTGCTTTTCTGATGCCACACTTCTTTGTCAAAGATTGGCCTCTTGGGGCTATTAAAATATCATTTCCCCTTAAAATCTTAGAGATAGACAGTTATAACTAGATATGGAACCTTTAATTAAGACTTGAAGTTATTTATAATTTGAATCTTAATCAAAAGCAATTACATATATTCCTTAAATAATGGTAAGTACTAGTTTTTGAAGTTGTATAAAATAATTTATTAAAGTAATATTTTTGTCATTATTTTTTAAAGTAACCTCTCTATACTCATCTCAAATTGGATAAATACTTAATTTTATTTAATGAAACGATATAAAAATTCTTTAAAACTACATTTAGTCCATGCTTTATTTGACATTTAAAATAACTATTGAGTTATTAAATAATTTTTAAAAACAAAAAATACTTATAAAAGTGACTAAACAAAATAACTTGTTTAGTATTGCCACCTGACTGTTGTTTGTGTCTTGATAACTTTTATGTAGCATGTTATATAATATAAAATATTTTTAAATCATATCATCTAATCATAAAGTTTGAGAATTTTTTTATTGTAAAAAATGGAATGATTATTAAATATGATTAAGAAAATATTTAAATGACTTTTCCTTTTTGTGGAGACTTGAGATTTCTTTCCAAGCATTACACAGCACTGTTGAAGAATTTCTTATCTATTTTATAGTTTTATAAAATTTCATGCAAAATGTATAGACCAGATGTTTACACAGGTGTTAATGGAGCTTCCTCTATAATGCTCTACTTTCCTTATCATAGAAGTGGTGTAGATTTGATTGACATCTTAATGGATCATGATAATTATTGTCACATTAACTGCTGAGAAGAGCCTACTTAAAAAGCTCTGAGCATCCTCCGAGCATGCTCTGAGCTTCCTCCTAAGAATAAATCTATGATCCCTAATTAGTGTTGCAATCAGGACACTCCAGTATAATATGATTGTAATTTTGGCTTCACAGGGAATATTGGCTCATATTTCACAACAGTGTCCTATATCCTCTTCATCTAGTGGCTCAGGAGATATAAAACACTGACAGGGAATATGTGCCCATATACCCTGTGAAGATCCTGAATGACATATCATATCCTCATAACAAACAGATAATTCCTTGGGTGTATTCTGTAGAAATTTGATATTGAATACTCATTTATTGAATTCATTTGAATGAATTTCATTTTTTCGTCATGACAAAATTTGATTAAAGGGAAACTCCGCAAAAAAATGAAAAATTGATATTTTGTTCTTTAAGCATAAAAAACCACATGTTCATAAATAAAAAACTTTTATTCTCTATGAAAAGAGATCAAAATCGATTTTTGAAATTCACTATCAGTTCTCGACATATCGCCATCTTGTCGGCATGTTCGATCTAAAAAGTCACGTGATATCTATAAACCACAAAGACCAAAATGAATCGGGGATTTACCGACCGTGTGTTAAAAACTCCCATCATCAATCGGGGATTACCGTAGATGATCACCCATTGTGAAAATGTCTTATCAAGCGTACGGTTGTTCTGTCCGACAAGGTTATGACAAAAGTCTAAATAGTTTTCCTAAACCCACAAAAAAAGAAAATAGTTATGACCTATAGCAAGCACAAGTTGATGCGTGAAGACCATTTTGAACAATCTTGTTTCGAGGGAGATTTGATGGTAATTATACTTTTTTTAATAACAAAATAATCTAGCAGTTCTGATTGCTATAGTTATCAAATCCTTATATGATAAGATCACGTTGATTCAATAAAATATAGATTTGATGAGGAAGAAAAGTTTCAATTAAAAGAAAGACAAATGCAGTGTTCTTGTAACAATCACTGATTTACAAAAGATTCATTAGTATGCCTCTTTTATATAAAGTGCATTGGTTTATATAAAGAATAGTTCCGTATTTAGTCAAGTTAATTTTTTAAATTAATAAAGTTATACGATAAATAACATTTTTAAATTATGATATTTAACGGATATTGACGGGGAGCATTGTTAGGAAGAGGTTTTAGCTAAGACAAAATATGTTGATATAGTATAATATTCCCAGGTTATAGAAATGTAAATATCGAAATATTGGACATCTAATTTTTTTATCAAAAAAGTTTTTTAACTAATCTTTTAACTATATCAAATTGATACGGGATCAATTCGGAACAGTCACTTATAAAGACACTTTACAGTTAAATGTGTGACCCTATCTGGTATGTTTGGAAAAAAATGTATATTTTATTTTCTTTTTAAATTTTATTTACGTTATCTTATTATATATATATATATATATATATATATTGGCTTCCTCCCGAATTGATAATAGGTATGTCAGAATTATTGATAGATGTCGTGTCAGAGCGACACATTCAGTTAGTTATCCCAAGGACGTGTATTAGACACGTCCTTGGTTATTCCAGTGACATCCTGTCGACTAAAAATTCCTATTACACAATATATTATACAGGTCCATGCATGCATGGCTTCTTAATTGAGGTACCCGACGTGCACAGGTAACATTTATTGAACCACATATATTGTGTTCGACGTTATTTATCTTGTGCGTGTTTGAAATTATAATTCCACCTGTTAATGAATGATGTTCTGATAATAATAGTATCCACTATTTTTGCTGATAATAAGTTTAAAAATTTTATAAACATGATCTTTAAAAAAATTTGTGAAATACATATACTGTTTTGTCATGATTCTGGACCCTTCTTTTGAAAAAAAAATTCTTCACGCAAATGCAAGCTTTTACCGATTGGCAAACATGCAGTATAAAGTAATGCAGCACTTATAGTCAGTATCAAATATTTATTTATTGACGATAAGAGAGCTCCTTCTATGTCTAATGTCCCTATTTTTATACGGATTAGAACGACAGGGGAAACAGTCACTGTAAAGGAATGGAGATAGAGTGGCATAGTGAAAAAAAAATAACCGATTAGAGAAAATTATACTACATAGAGAATGATCGACGAAAAGGGTAATAGTTATTGTAAAGGAAAAGAGATAAAGAGAGGCATAGTAAAAAAATGTTTGCTAGACAAAGTTACTGCTCGCTTTGATATTTTTATACAAAATCACACATCGTGTTCCAAATTGGTATTCACGTGCGCTGACTTGCCGATGTGTTAAGTTTCTGCATAGCATCAGAGACATATAATACAGAGACATATATGTCTCTGATAGCATGGTTAAAAATAATTAAGTATCCCATTTGTTATATCGTAGTGTCACTGTGTTTCTTTGTTCAATTTATTTAGTTTGTTAATGATTATGTAAATAAGAATAAATCTGTATACCCTTCATACCCGTTTAGTTATTGCCTTTAGAAATCTTTTCATACAGATAGATAACTCATAGTCCGACATTTATGTAATATTTGCCACATGACGCTCATATTTCTTTCTACTATCATCATCTTATTCATTAAATATTGCTGTAAGCATCGATGGTTCACACCCAAACCAAATGGGAGTAATATACCTTTAGAGCTTCTCCGTGGTATACACTTGTCACAAATATATAGACGAAATTCGTTATTGAAGTGAATCTACATCTCACAAACACAATTTTTGAATTACGATTTTGAGTGAACACCCACCAAACCAATACAAAATGGCAAGATATAACCATGCAGGCATTTAGTTTTCGTCAGACACAAGATAAATAATACGCTCATATTGCTTTCTACTATCATCATCTGCTTCATCAAATATTGCTGTTAACAACGATGGTCCACACAAAATAAAAGGAATTATATACAATCAGAGCTTCTCAGTGGTGTACACTTGTGAAATATATAGACGAAATTCGGTATTGAGAAGTGAAATTACATCTCACAAACATTATCTTTGAATTACGATTTTGAGTGAACACACACCAAACCAATAAAAACGTATAGCAAGATACATAACCATGCAGGCATTAAGTTTTCGTCAGGTACAAGATAAATAATCGCTGTCATAAACGTACATGCATGCAGTTTATGATATCAAGAATAAGAGGTCGATGTCTGTAGATCATTGTTCAGTTCGTTTACTGACTGTTCAGAGTCAGACATGTCACTTACTCATTCTTGGAAGCATTCGTGTACCCCATCCGACGATAGGAACTCTTTTCCGATAGTGTTGACAACTATGCTTGTATGGTGATTCTGTTTTTCTGGGCAAGTGGTTGGCCTCCCCTGACCCAACAAACAAACGAACGATACGCTATTAGTCTGCTTTGTCCTTTAGAAAGAACATCTTGAGCTCGTCTTCAACGGTGCTTATACCTCAGGAAAAGTATACTAGTACAGCTTGTTTCAAGGAGACGAACTGTTCTAAAATCGTCATTGTCAGCAATACATTACTAAGCTATGCCATTAATTACTACAATTACTATTTTGGATTAATGACGGCCACCCTGTAGAGTATTACACTAAATTATAATATAATATAAAAATGATTATATTTAATTTTCATATGTTCAAACCGTTAAAGACAATTAGAACACCTCATACAAAAAACAGATCAAAAGAAAAAAAAAGGAAATAAAAATTTCCAGACGGAATAAACAATTATTTTAATAGATTAGATTTATAATGAATGACATAAATGATAATTGGCATTCTTTTCACAAATAATTATTCTAAGAGATTGTTAGTTGAATTTATTATGTAGGAATGAAATTTTAAAAAGAAGATAAAAAATCATGCATGTTGTACTATTGTATTTTTTCAATAAAACTTTTAAATTGCGATAGTTTTCGATTGTTAGCATTTAAACATCGCCAGATTAAAATACAAGTTAAAGAATTCCGGTAAAGTAAATTAAACAGATGTGCAATTATTAATTGGGAAATGTTAAATTAATTTTCTTTTAACTTCATATTTTAATTTTATGCTAATTGCATAGAGCGTAATCGAAAATTGTTCCATTTCAAAAAACACTTCCGGAATTAAAAAATTGAATGTTTATTTTCAATTAATTTATACATTTTAATAATTGTTTCTCTATTGTCATTGGGTATTTCAGCTTGGTGTATTAAACACGCTATACTCTTTCTGTTAATCCATTCAAAATGACAACATTCACACCTGTGTACGCTTGAATTCACACCTGTGTACGCCTGAGGCTAAATTGCTGCAAGGGAAAGTTCAAACGAATTCTCCTCAAATCGATAAATAAACAATGACTTTACAAAATAATATACACACTCTGTTCACAAATATTTTGCCTTGAAATGGTTACCAAAGTTATAACGGTAAATAAAACAGTTTAATATCAGTCAAAGTGTTCAACAGATATTTTATGAAAAAATCTCAACAATAATTTATGAAATTAATTCGAAAATATTTATATTTAGATAACTTCATATAGGAAGTTTTATTCAATCAATACAAAACGGTACACACATATTCATTTTCTTTCATTCTTATATTGTGGTTATTAACTACGACCAACGGTCATCTGTGCGCTTTTAATTACGTAAAATTCTGATAAGCTATTAAGACTTTAACAGATTTTATTTTTTCCCATGATTCAACAAATCGGGTTAAAACGTCACAACCCAGTGACGTAGGTCAACCAAAAAAGGTTACAAATACTTGATTTTCTCCGTTATTAGAAAGAATATAAATATAAAACTTTGTGAATGTGTTTTTTATGTTAAGATGAACATATTAAGATGATAAGTAAAAAATCGCGGACTTTCCCTTTAACTACACAATTTTTAATATTGGGCTCTATCGCCAGTTTTCAGAACAAACAAGGATTAGTATAGTAATATTTAAATCCTTGGCACAAAAAAAAAACAGAAAACACAGTAGAGAACATAATACACACAAAATACAGAGTGCAAAAAAAAATGGAAGTGTGATAAATAGTTTATTAATCCAATAAATTAAAAAATAAAGTTTTTCCAAGCCTTAAATATTCTTTATACACATGACTTATTTTTGCTATGAAATGTAAGGTCTAGGTTACATTATTATGCAAGTCTGGTACATGTATTATTTTATTTGGTTTATGTTTGTATACCTTGTGTGTGTGTGTGTGTGTGTTTTTTGTGACATTACAGCTAATGTTATAGATTTAATACACAAGTAATAATTTTCTTTCTGTTTTACAGGAGCCCAGTCAGTTCTGGCCTATGCTACAGTAAATGGATATATAATGGGATTTGATTTGAGGTCCAATAAAGAAGTTTGGAAGCTGAAAAATGATCCAAAGAAAGGTAGAGTAAAATCAGGCTAAGCCACTTAAAGTTTCCTACTTTTTCTATGTTTACCCCTTGAAGAAAAGACCATAGAATATTTTGATGAATTAGGCCTAATAGCACTATATGGAATATAGCTTTTATGAAATGACCAAAATGTACATTGTAAGCTGGTTAGAAAATTATTTTTTTTAAAAAGGGGGATTTGTTAGCAGATGAATTTTAATGATTTGGTCTTTTAATATTCAAGGAGCATTAGAATTGATACTGTTAAATATATGTTCTAGATATTCATAAAAAATTAGGTTAAATGTATTTTAGGTCTAATTACTACTTGTGCTGTACATCACTCTCAGTGCTGGTTTGCTGTCGGAACCAGTAGTGGCAGCCATGTTTGTTGGGATCTAAGATTCCAGCTGCCTATTACCTCAATAGAACATCCAATGGGAGCAAGGGTCAGGAAGTTAATAGTCCATCCAAAGGAGCAATCGTGGATAATCTCAGCTACCCAGGGAAATAATGAGGTGTCTATGTGGGATGTAGAGACAGGAGCTAGACGCAAGGCATTATGGGCCAGTCCTGCTCCACCCCTGTCACAAAAACAGGTCAGAAACAAACTTTGCTTTATCTATATTTGTATACTCTAAATTCAGAAATTATCGCAAGGTTTTTATTCATACGATTAATGTTACTGGGTGAGTCTACAATAATAAAAACTTGCATTCTGAAATCTGGCACGTATATTTGCATGCAGTTTTTCCTGTCATCCCAATAACTTTTCTCACATTTTGGTCTGTCATGTTGTAATCACAATAATGAATGCATGCAATTATAAATGCGCACAATAATTTCTGAATATACAGTACATTGATATATATTAGTTTCTTATTCCTGAAATAGTAAGCTGTAGATTTTCAGTTTAACATAATTTTATAATGAAAGTTTAGATTACAGTGTGCTGTTGATTCATTAATTTTCTTGGATACCATTTTTTGTGGTTAGAAGAAAATTGTATTTTCATTAAAATTTGGTTTTGTGGTTTTGCCAAAGGTTGCATACAAGCCTATAGAAAATTCTTACTTCGTTGAACATTTAAATTTGTGGTTAATTTTTACCCACGAAATCACCATTGGTATTGGCTGAGTAATAACGAATACACAGTAATTTAATTTGCTTACTGCATATGCATTGGTCTGTAACAAATATTTGTTGAAGAAAAAAAATTGTGATATACTTATGAAATATGATCCAGATCATCACAGAATTCTCTTATTGTCTTTATCAAATGTTTGAATCTAGAAACTTTCTATATTAAGGTGGTACCAATCCCTTGACTAAAATTAAATTGGCTCGTTTAATTTTCATAAAATTTTGACAAAATATTTACTTTGATCCTTTGACAAAAATATAAAAATTTCAAAAAAACTTGAAACACACACTTTATCGGAAAAAATCATTGGAAGGCAGTTTTACAAACACAAATTTTGATCATTGAGAAGCTTAATATTTCCTTAACAGTAGAACATGATTAAAACGTTCAGCTGATTTTTACAGTGTTATCTCCCTGTAGTGTTATGTATAACCTTAATCAATACATCATTGCGTTTCAAACTTTTTCATTTCCATGAATTTACAGTAAATGAAGTAAGATAGCAAACTGACTGATATATTATTATTAACATATAGTTGGTTTTTTGAAAACGAGACTGTTGACTAGCATGGTTGGATTTTTTCACGGAGAAGAATTTTGAAAGTTTTTCAGGAATTCCACACTGATACACCCTATTTGCAACACTTAAAACATTTAAAAAACAATACATTACATTTAGTAATAGTTTTTACAAAAAATAATTCTTAAAAACAATTAAATTTAAAACTTAGGATTCTGCGCGTGCAGATCGAGTTTGTAAATTCTTGCCCTTAAAAAAAGAAAGGCAAACAAGTAATTTGATTTATTTTATTATTCTTTAATATACAACAATTAAATACTGTTTATTAATATCATAATATCCATCGTCCTTTTTAAAATATGATTATAAATAATAAACTTTCTCTGCTGACTAGATCCATCATGTAGGCACACAAAACATCGTACGTGACATCCATTTTTTCTGTTATTTTATCTTGTTTATTTTTATTCCTTATACTGTAAAACCGCAAACCCCTTTATATATTAATTATTACTCCTTGCCAAGCAAGTGTGTTCTCATGACCGATAGCTATATAAGAAGAAGTCTGAGACAAATCAAAGTCAACACTGCAGGTCTGCAGCAGAAACACACTCTGTTCTTCTCTCCAACAGTAAGGGGGCTTATATCAAATGTGAGGTCACCAATTTGGATGAACTAAATATACAGTTTGTAAACCAGTCAAGTTCAAGTTGGACTCCATCTTGTGGGTCAGGAACAACCTACACAAATGTACAAAAAGGTTCAAACACATACACATTTATGTTTGGTTAGGCACATGTGACACTACAACCAAAGTAGGGAAATACCTGAAATTGAGATTTCAAAATACATCTACTATCCTGAAATACATCCAGGACAAATTTGAAGACCTAACCATGGCAATAAAGGTATCCCAGAAAAAGAATACACCACAAGAGAGAGAAATCGTTAATGATAGTATCCAAATACTCTATGAGACCTTAAAAGCCTATTGTTGGTTAGTAAATATATAAACTACACGACCCCCTACATTCTATTTTACACATAAATAACAACATTCACTAATAGAAACCAATAACTTGGGTCCTTGACAAGATTTTTAAATTTTAACAATATAAAAACGTATGGAACCCCATGTGATGAACTTTTAATCATTACTGACATAAATAATTTTTATCACATTATTTATTTTTAAACTATTGGACACCTTTAACACAGTAATTAAAGTTTTATTCATTTTAAAAATATAATGTTTTAAGCTTATGTCAGTCTCTTATGTATAGTGTATATACAAGTTTTTACCTTTAATCCATTTTATCCTTATTATTTTATTATTATTTCATTTTATTTTACCTTAACACAGATAAAATATCTTAATCTATTAACAAATTTTTAAAGTTACGCATTTTTAAAAATATAAACTAAAATATTTTTAATGTGGTGACCCTGCAAATAGGGTGGACTTCCGGAAGAATCAGAATCAGATTAAGAAATAAATTTTAAAATTTGTATATTCTTAAATATCTGTTATCATGGTTTGGAATATAATTTATGGTTTGTAAATTTTTGAATTTGTTGGATAAGACTTTCATAATAACAAATTCAAATATATATGTGCATTTGAAAAAGTTTTTTTTTTCGTAAATTTGTTCTCTATTTTTGGTCCTAAAATTAAATTGGTATTACAAGTAGTAGGCTTTTTAGCTCACCTGGCCCGAAGGGCCAAGTGAGCTTTTCTCATCACTTGGCATCCGTCGTCGTCGTCGTTAGCTTTTTACAAAAATCTTCTCCTCTGAAACCAAGGGGTCAAATTTAACCAAACTTGGCCACAATCATCATTAGGGTATCTAGTTTAAAAAATGTGTCCAATGACCCCGCCAACCAACCAAGATGGCCACCATGGCTAAAAATAGAACATAGGGGTAAAATGTAGATTTTGGCTTATATCTCTGAAACCAAAGCATTTAGAGTAAATCTGACATTGGGTAAAATTGATAAGCAAGTCAAGATCTATCTGCCTTGAAATTTTCAGACAAATCTGACAACCTGTTGTTGGGTTGCTGCCCCTGAATTGGTAATTTTAAGGAAATTTTGCAGTTTTTGGTTATTATCTTGAATATTATTATAGATAGAGATAAACTGTAAACAGCAATAATGTTAAGCAAAGTAAGATCTACAAATAAGTTGTCATGACCAAAATTGTCAGTCGACCCCTTTAGGAGTTATTGCCCTTAATAGTCAATTTTTAACAATTTTTTGTAAATTTTTGTAATCTTTTACAAAAATCTTCTTCTCTGAAACTACTGAGACAAATTTAACCATACTTGGCAATAATCATTATTAGGGTATCTAGTTTAAAAAATTTGTCTGATGACCCCGCTTTCCAACCATCATGGCTGACTTGGTTAAAAATAGAACATAGGGGTAAAATGCAGTTTTTGGTTTATATCTCTGAAACTAAAGCATTTAGAGCAAATCTGACAGGTGGCAAAAATGTTCATCAGATTTAGATTTATCTGCCCTGAAATTTTCAGACGAATCTGACAACCCGTTGTTGGGTTGCTGCCCCCGAGTTAGTAATTTTACAAAAATTTTGCAGTTTTTTGTTATTATCATAGATATCATTATAATATCTAATATCTAAGACTATTAATTATGATTTTAACCTTATTTTACATGATTTCCAAAGCATCAGTAAATACAGGTGAGCGACACAGGCTCTTGAGAGCCTCTAGTTTGATGTTATGATGTTTCCAAATTTACAAACCAATGAAGCGCTGTTGAATAAATCTGGTAGTTATGATGGTCTGGATGGTGTTTACAGAATAGAGAATATTGGGCAAAAAAAATAAAGAATAGACAAAAAATAGAGAATAATGATATACTCAAATATAAAGAATAAAGAATAGATGGTAACAAAAATCCAACAAAAAGTGAAAAATGGCCAAAAGAATTAAAGAATACAGAAATAAAGGACCCCATCTAGATCCTCATTTATGGTTTTAAAGTTTTAAGTGAGAAGTTTATTGAAAAAAAACTTAATAAATTTTCTAAATTTTGTACCAAAACAAAAGTATGCAAATGATGTTCATATTCTCTTAAAATGTATTTTGGTGTGTAAATAATATTTACTATTAAAAAAAATATCAAACATGTCAAAAGAGGTCAAAGATCACCATTGGAGAGTAGATAATATTCATTTGTAATCTATTAATTCAGTATTTTAAGTTCAATATCCAATGGCAGCAGACCTCAATGAAATTGGGTAAAGATTGGCTTAAATAGTAACTCTTTCAGCTGAATTTTTGACTTTAGAGTATCTAATTTTTAAGATTAGTGCAAAGATGAGTTATTTTTTAATCCATTATACTTAATGTATTGGGATAAGTAAAAAAAGTAATTGTAAAATATAGTTTATTCAATGATTTTTAAATTAACTTTTCTAACATTTGAGATAAAAAAAGAAATTCGTTTCTGATCAAATCAAGGGAGGTAATCCAGTATTATCCTTGATAAATATATTGATATACATGTATATATATACATAACTACTCTAAATATCAGCACAACAATGTTAAATCTGCAAATTTTGTTCTTCCCTCGCAAGGATCATACCTGTCAACCTCTGAAACTGAAAATGCAGGTCATGACCTTCATTGAAGAAGAAAATGTCAGGTCATAACGCGTACAAACTTTATCGGTCCAATTTTAGTATTGAGAGAGTTTTTTTATATACTATAACATATACATGTACCACTGAGTTTTCTAAAAATAATCACTTTTGTATTTGTTAAGTATATAAATATTTATCATTAATTAAATATCTTTCTAAAGCAATGCCCTTTTATTGTTTTATTCACACTAGTTTACTTATTTTTATTAATGAATGTCATAAACCCCAGCTGTACATGTAATTAGAAATCAATTATAGCTAATGTGCTCCTATACACAGGAGGAAGATAAATAGAAAGAAGTTAGTGTGACTGTGTTTCCTTTCAGTGTAATATCTGGAGCATATGGATTTGATTTAAAGCTTTTACATTCAAGTGATAACAAAATTATTCTCTCCAACAGAAATGTATTATATAAAAGGTTAAAATTGTTTTCAAATGATTTTTACAGGATATTTGATATTTGCAAACAGCAAATCTTTAATCAGGACATAGAATGCTTGACTGGCTTTAACTTTCTGGGGTACAATTAACAAACAATCCTCGAATTGTTACTTTTCAGTCAAATGTAATGTTTTGATAGCTGTCATTGGCACGGTAAATAAGCAAATTCTAATTTCAATTGTTTACCTTTTCAAAGGAAAAACGCAGAGAAAACCGAAAGTATATTTGACTTCTAAATACCGGAAACAAAACCGGTCAGAAATACTGGTGAAAACAGGTAATTTTCTAAAATCCTGGGTTATTTGAATACCCGGGGTGTATTTAAAAAATCCCGTGTGAAGGGGGAAATTCTCGGGTGTGACCCGCAGAATAAGGGTCAGTTGACACCTATGGCCGGGATTCAAACTCATGCTATTGGGATATCGAGACAACAGCGCCTGCACTGTGTCCAGCTCTCTAGACCACTCAGCCACCTACACTGAACTCAAATTCAGCTTTTGGTGGCCTAGTGTTACCTTTCCTCGTCGGTTGAATCTAGAATTCCATCTTCATGCCTAATATAACATGCACTGTGTTACTAGATACTACTGACAAGGAAAGGTAAAACGAGGCCTGATTTCCTCCCATTTATATTTTCCCTTGCAAATGGGAATTGGTGTACTAGCAGGGGCCCTAGGCATGCATCCCTAGGCTGCTTACAGCTATTAAACATCAGGTGTTATATAATAAAATGTGTTGAAATTAAAAAAAGATAAAAAATTGATTGATTGATGTTTAATGCCACTTTCAGCATTATTTGGTATTTCGTGTCAGTCAGTTGTTATTGATGGGGGAAACCAGAGTGCCTGGAGAGAACCACAAACCTTCGGTAGGAAACATGACAATCCTAGTCAATCAAGATTGGAGTCGGAAAAAAATGAATAATAGTGATTAATTTTAAATGTATTATTACAGGCAAGTAACCATTCTGTATATGGTATGCACATGGTGATGACGGATAACAATGTTATAATGTTGACAGCAAGCTCCGACATGAGGGCCAGATTCTGGGATATCAATTATCCTGCTAATTCTTACATCATGGCCCCTGCTGCCCTGGACCCTGGTCATCAACCAAGTGTTAGCTACAGGTAAGGTTCCTGGACCCCGGTCATCAGCCAAGTGTTAGCTACAGGTAATGTTCCTGGACCCTGGTCATCAGCCAAGTGTTAGCTACAGGTAATGTTCCTGGACCCTGGTCATACATGTTAGTTTATTACTCTGGCATCACCCTGTGTTAGCTACAGGTAAAATCTCTGGGCATTTGTCAACAACAAGGAATACAGGTAAAGTCTCTTGAAGCTTGACAACAGCTTAGTGTTCACTACTGGTGAGGTCTCTTGACTCTTGAAAACAGCTTATCCTACATGACAGGTGAGGTCTCTTGGTGCTTGACACCAGTATATTGTATGTTACAAGTGAGATCTGTTGGTACTTGACACCATTTTTATGCCCCCGCCGTAATGGAGGGGGCATTAAGTTTTACCCTTGTCGCTCTGTTAGTTTAGTTTAGTTTTTCTCAACCAAATGTCATGAAATTTATACACAATGCTTATTATCACAAAACACAGATCAAGTGTGAATGTGGGTAGCGTCACTTTTACCATTCTAGAGTTATTCCCCTTTACAAATGGAAAAATTGCTGAATTTTTCGTTTCCGTTATCTAACTTAAGTTTGCCACAACCAAATGTAATGAAAGTTATACACAAGGGTTATTACCACAAAACTCAGATCAAGTACAAATTTGGGTAGTGTGACTTTTACAGTTCTAGAGTTATGTCCCTTTATAATGTTATATGCAAGTGGGGGCATGATCTGTGTCCCATGGGCACTTTGTTTTTACACTGCATTTAAGGTCTGTGGACATTTAATAATGGACAAAGAATAAGCTAGCTCAAAAAGAATCAAGCCAGCAGACAAATATGTCACCCTTACCAAAATGTATCATTTAGCCTACTAGTCAATCAGTCTTTGCTTGTTTATTCTACATTGGCTAGAGGTATATTGGAGGGTTGAGATCTCACAAAACATATATAACCCTGCCACATTTTTGCACCTGTCCAAAGTCAGGATTCTCTGGCCTTTGTTAGTCTTGTATGTGTTTTTAATTTTGGTTCATTTATATGTTTCTGAGTTTAGTTTGATGTTCATTTTCTCTGAACCAGTATACATTTTTGTTTCAGGGCCAGCTAAAGCCCGCCTCCAGGTTGCGGGATTTTCTCGCTGTGTTGAAGACCCATTGATGGCCTTGAGCTGTTTTCTGTTCTTTGTTTGAATTGTTGTCTCTTTTACACATTCCCTGTTTCCATTCTCAATTTTATTTGCTGTTAAGTGTTAGGTGATCATTTTTAATATCTTAACCTCCTGAAAAGTGAAGATAACTAACACAATTTTTTTGTTATTGAAGAAATAAGGACGATTGGTTTTCAATCCTGAAATACTAATTTCATGAATTTCATTTGTATAAGTTAACCACAAATTAAAATTATCAACAGAACACAAATTTCCTATAGCTTTGTATGTGGACTTTTTTCAAAATGTGAAAATAATCCATAATCAGTCGTACCAATGAAAAATAAATAAATGACATGAATAGCAGTAGAAAAAGTTTGGTTGATTATGAATATGGAGATGTGTGGTATATATGGCAACCTAATAACACATATTACCAAAAGACATCTATAGGGCAATTAACATACAGTCTTTATAGAAAGTAGAAGTTTACATCACAAATATACATATTGGAACTTTTGTCCAAGTTTTTCGATTTACTTTCACTTAGATATAAGACAGATGCATAAACATGGGTAGGATTAATCTATTTATAGATGATAGTAAACCAATACCTGGTGACTATTCAATCCAACATAATTATTATACCCCCGCTTTAGAAAGTGGGGGTATACTGTTTTACCTCTGTCCGTCCATCCCTCCGTCAGTCCGTCCATCCGTCCCATGAATATTTTTTCGTCGCAACTTTCTCAGAAACTACATCATAAGGATTTCTGAAATTTGGTTTCAGAGTTTATATAAGTCAGCTATACCGTGTGATGCGTTTTCAGATTCATTACTCAACAACTTCCTGTTTACCGAAATATTTGGGCAGGGGTATCATCAGTGAGCAGTAGCCGTTTTCAGATTCATCACTCAACAACTTCCTGTTTACCGAAATATTTGGGCAGGGGTATCATCAGTGAGCAGTAGCTCGCAGTTTCACTTGTTTCAAAAGTGTATACTTTAAATTCAAAAATTATTGCATGCATTTATTTTTGCGAGTTTTTAAGAATGAACATAAATGCAGGATTACTTATTGCGTTTCATGAAAATAGGCATACAGATATAAGTAATGAATTCAGAATGGGAGTTCTTATTAATGCGATACTCATCCAGTCACATTATTTGCATTAATAAAAACTTCACAAAAATTTCTCAATTTACGTTACCTTGGATATGCAGGGATGTTAGACATGTTAGATGACACATAAAATGAAGAAACTTTTATATATTTTGCAATCTTTTTCTTTCAGATCTCGTTTAATAGAGGGCACAGAAGTCATAATAGAAACATATACCAAAAAACAGACTTCTACAAGTGAAGACATTCCACGCTGTGGACCAGACACTCCAGCCATTGGACACCATGATGTCATCAGTGATATAAATACATGTATGGCTTCTCAGTGTCTGGTGATAACAGGCTCTAGAGATGGCGTTGTAAAAGTCTGGAAATAATATTTAAATATTCAAGGTCGAATGTCAAATGTAAAACTAAAGGTCACAAGGACATGGAAATAATGTTCAAATATTCAAGGTCAAAGGTCAAATGTTAAACTAAAGGTCACAAGGACAGTGCAATATGTAGTTTGTGATAAATAAACCATTTGAAATAATTGTTATGCCAAATATCAATATTTTTTTATATATTAAAATAACATTGTATTTTGATTTGTCTTTGCTGTTTAATGGAGTGCATTGAAGGCCGTACCTTGACCTATAATGGTTTACTTTTATAAATTGTAACTTGGATGGAGTGTTGTCTCATTGGCACTCATACCACATCTTCCTATATCTATATGCTATATAAAGACATGGATATTCTTTTTCACTTGTGGCGGATCAATTCAGAAGTGGTGTTGCATTCTGGGAACATCACTGTTTTGGACATTCCCATAATAGAAAAATCAAAAGATGTGGAATGATTGCCAATGACAACTCTCCACCAGAGACCAAATGATGTAGAAGTGAACAAGTATAGGTCACTGTAATGATTCAACAATGAGCAAAACCCATACCTCATAGTAAGCTATAAAAGGCCCTGAAATAAAAAATGTAAAACAATTCAAATGAAAAAACAAAAGACCTGATTTATGTATTAAACAATAATGAAAAATCAAATATGATTTGCTGCAACAAATCAACAACCACTGAATACAGGCTCCTGACTTGGGACTGCACATACACAAATGCAGCACAGTTAAACATGCTTTCTGGGGTTTCACCCTAACCGTGGACTTTGTTATAACAGTACAAAAAAAAGAACAAAATAAAATAAAAAGTCTTCAGGTTGATACAAAGCACCAAAAAACGAACAAAACCACAAAATACACAAAGTTTAGATCTGAAAGTACTCAAGTTACTGAAAGCTAGTTCAAATCCAATGACAAAAATTGGCTTATGAAAAATCATGTATAGAAGACTAGAATATCAGCTCACATGCATCATTCAATGGATTTAGTGTGAAGACTTCAGAGAGAAAAAATATAACCAGTGGAAATTTGTAGGACCGTGAATTTACATATAACAATAATATGTAGTTGGGTTTTAATTTATTGATAACAAAATCACTCTTAATACAGAAAAAAATTATTCAAAGATCAAATTAGAGTTGAATTATTAACATCTGCACTTTTTTGGATATTCCCATAATGCACTGATTTGACATTACCATAATGCACGGTTTTGAAATTCCCATAATGCACTGTTTTTACATTCCCATAATGCAGCACAGTTTCTTATTTACAATAAGACAGAGACTGCAAAATAGTGTAGGAAGATGCAAGTGGATTGTTTTAGGTCAACTGGGACTTAATTTAAAACCTTTATGTTTTGGGGGATACAGTATCCAGATCATGATAATTCATTAAAAATTCCATCTCATATAGAAATTATAATAATGATGCAATAAGGGTTGCAATAAAGTCATTTGTGAGATGTATTAATAAGGTTAACTATATCATTGTCGAGCCTGCAACTTCTGTCTCAGAAAGCTTGACATAGGGATAGTGATCTGGATGTGGCAGCGGCGTTAACAAACTATTCAAAAGCTTAATATTTCAGAAGGTAGAAGACCAAGATCCTTCATACTTTGTGTATAGATGCCTCATGTTATAAAGTTTCTGTCTATTTGTCAATTGTCCTCATCCTTATTTTTATGGTTCAGTGACTACAAAAAAAAATAAGATTTTTAGTATTCTTAGTTTCTCCCATAATAGTTTAATATTATGAGTAATAGGGTAACTATATTTGGTGTGAGCATAGCTTGCAAGGTTCTGATGTATGTCAGACAGTTTTCACTTGACCTCGACCTCATTTCATGGATCAGTGAACAAGGTTAAGTTTTCGTGTTCAAGTCCATGTCTCAGATACTATAAGCAATATATCTACTATATTTGGGGTATGGAATGATTGTAAGGTGGACATGTCCACCTGGCAGGTGTCATCTGACCTTGACCTCATTTTCATGGTTCAGTGGTCAAAGTTAAGTTTTTTTGTGTTTTTGTCTGTTTTTCTAATGCTGTGTGCAATAAGTAAACTACATTTGGTGTATGAAAATATTTTGAGATTTACACGTCAGTCTGGCACGTCTTATGTGACCTTGACCTCATTTTAACGGTTCTTGCTCAATGTTAAGGTTTTTGTTTTTTGGTCTGTTTTTCTAATACTATAAGGAAAAGGTCAACTATATTTGGTGTATGGAATGATTGTAAGGTGTATATGTCTGTATGGCAATTATCATCTGACCATGACCTGATTTTCATGATTCATTGATCAATCTTAAGTTTTCCTGGTTAAGTTTGTTTCTTAGATACTATATGCAATAGATCAACTAAATTCAAAGTATGTAATGCTTGTAAGGTTTACATGTCTTTCTGACATGGTTCATCTGAATTTGACCTTATTTTCATGGTTCATTGATCAATGTTAAGTTTTCCTGGTCAAGTTTTTTTTGTAGATGTCAACTATAGCTAAAGCATATTTGGTGTATGGAATGATTGTAAGGTGTACATGTATCTCCAGTTTGGTTTATCTGACCTTGACCCTATTTTCTTGGATCATGTTAAGTTTGTGTGATAGTTGTAGCGAAGCTTGATATTTAGGACTATCAACATAAAATCAATGGTTAGTAGAGAAGGTGAGACATTTCAGCGTGTGCACCCTCGTGTTTATAATAGTTTTATATTTACATTAACAACTATATATATGCGTATTTGAACATGAGACAGGTGTTACTGTATCTGTATACATGATAATCTAAATAATCATTTTTCCAAAATTAAAACTACAGAACAATGTACTCATTCTTTTTACATTTTACAAATTATGACATTGGAAAATACAAAAATACCAAATTGAAAAACAATCCGAGAGTTTTGACAAAACCTACCAAAAAGTATAACAAAAAGTAAAATCACAAAAATACTGAACTCCGAGGAAAATTCAAAAAGGAAAGTCCCTAATCAAATGAAATTACCGTACTCCAAAGCAAACTCAAAAAGTCCATACATATTGACAAAATTGGAAGAGCAACCCAAACAGTCGTAATATGTTAATGTGACAACAATTGGGATCCAGCAGCCAAAACTGTTTTAACATACATCACAGACATATAACGCAACCGACAAAAAAAAATACAAATTAATCTAGTTATTTACCAAATTGCAAAAAAAAACAATAATTTAAGTATGAATTCTGTTGACAAAGTAAATGAACTATGGAAGCTTATCCGATGTTGGTCCTATTATTAGAAATGTTATTTATGAGAAATGCTAATTTCATTTTTTTTTATACACAAACATAGTACATGCAAATACACCATGGTAGCGGTTGTCAACAAAACAGAAACAAGATAATGCGCAAGTCTAACTGTTTCGAAATATTCGTCCTCATTTATATGGACATTAACTTAGCTTGTCGAAAATGAAGATTAACTACAGTTTAACCTTGTTTTCTTTGTCTTAAATTTACACATATGTGGTTATTCCAGTAAAATCTTTCATTTTGACTTTGACTTGAATATGTTACTTCTAATTACTTATGCCCTATATATTAAATTGTCATATCTTGTCTGAAACAAAAGAACAAGCATTGTCACGAATTCATTATCGTTTCTTCGTAAGTACTCAAATATCGAAGAATATAAATGGTAATATTAGTTTAAACAAGATATATATCTTTGTGTTGAACCTTTTCCCTTGCTTTTAAAGGGGCATTAACTGTCTATTTCGTGTTTACCGATATAATTACTATGCATGGGCTCGATGATATGTATCAACATTTCGTAAGTATTTTAGTCTAGACGCCATCTAATTAACAATTGAGGTGACATCCGAAGACTGCCGACGGTAATATAACCCGATGTAAACTTAAATATAGATATAAGTAGAAAGCGAACTCGTGCAGCTGGAATTTCTAGGTCTGTTTGATTTCATATTAAATGTTCACAATACATGTTAATCAACGTATTTACCTGTATAAGATTGACATGTTTATCGAATCAGTCAATCAAATGGTTTACCCTTGTTTCACTTTTAATGTTGACATTCTTTTCCTTTTAATAACTGAACACGCCTAATGCATGCGAACCCATCTCAAGGATGAGATATCACGCTTATAATTACACGATAAATCGACAGACAAATGGTGATCATAAGCGCTTTATTTGATTTGCGTCACTGTTGATCATTATGTAGACGAAATGCGTCTGGTATACACAGTTTTGATCCTTGTATCTTTGATGAGTTAGTTTGATAGTTCCTGTATATATATCGAATCAAATCGACACAACGACACAACGAATTGGTTGATCAATATGATGTTCGGTGTCTCAACTCAACTAGCAAAAGGTAAAATAACAAAAATACCAAACTCCGTGGAAAATTTCAAAACGGAAAGTCCCTAATCAAATGGCAAAATCAAAACCTCAAACACATCAAACGAATGGATAACAACTGTCATATTCCTGACTTGTTTCAGGCGTTTTCTTATGTAGAAAATGGTTGATTAAACCTGGTTTTATAGAAATGTTTGTGTCGTCTTAGGGTTTCGAATGCCATTGTCTGATCTGTAATTTAATCGACTGTGTCATATTTTCGATTGTGACATATTGACAGCGTTTTGATTAGCGGGGGATACAGTCCTAGTAGTCCTAGGTGACGATAGGCCGTCGACTCATCTGATTTCGCTGCTTCAGAAATTCTTGCAATTGCATCAGTTTTTAATAATTGTTACCTTTGATCGTCGTTTAACTTTACTATAGCATTGATTTATCGCTTAAATCCGACTTTATTATCAATAATTTTCACAAGAAAGTTATACTCTTTAACCTCAGTTGGTTGATTATTTTCATGTCTATCACTTATTTGTGTGTTGTGCGTATATGCGTTCTGACTGACATATACCGTTTTATTTGTGTTTTTTTATTATTTGATTTGATTAGATAAATTAACAAGTATTAACTAACATGGCTAACACGACTAAAACAACAACATACATTATATATGTTTCTGGATTTACCTTCACCAGGAAAATATTAAAACAATTTGAAATTTACATGACATATACAGAACTGAAACTGAGAATGTGTAATTATTTTTTATGATTGATATATCCTTATGTTCAAAAAGGCTAAATAATGCTTCGAAGCTACAGGGATGTACATTTTTCTA